CCAGAATTGTTAAACATGGTCTGTCGATTACTGTGTTGTCGAGATAGTCACACTATCGACCAAGATTAAACATGGCTTTACTTTTAATTTTCTTTGATAATGGTTGATTAGGAAATAATGACCAAACATGGCCATTTTTGCCTAAGCCACGTAGCAGTGGTGCCACTTTATTTTTCTTTTCATATCAACAACATTGTTGGGGGGCACGGTGTTGCGGAAGCAAAATGACTATTATATTATACCATCCAAAAAAAAGAGAGCGGCCAAAACAACGATGATGACGAATTGAAAAAGAAGAAGAAAAACAAAAAACCAGGATTGTTTGGATGATGAACAGTGCTGCTGGAGGTCCTAAGCGGGGCCGCAATGGTATAAAATATAATAAAAAAAAAAAAAGCCTCTCAGCGCTGCGGCTGTGGCTGACAGCCATGATAAAAAAAAAATTAAGGGTAGAGAGGGCGGCCAACAGCTCTGGTGAAAAAAAAAAAAAAAAATTCCAGTTCTGCCGCAACAGCTCTGGCGGAAGAAATATATAAAAAAAAAAATCTCAGCACTGCGGCTGTTCCCAACAGCCCTGAAAAAAAATATATATATATATTTATGCATGCACCGCTGGCGGAAGAGAGTAACAGCTCTGGCCGAATAAAAAAAAAAAAAAAAAAAACTCAGCGCTGCCTCCGTTGTTAGCAGGCCTGATGATAATAAAAAAAAAAAAAAAAAGAAAGAGATTCCCAATCCTGCGGCCGTTCACAACAACCCTGAAGAAGAAAAAAAAAATTTAATAGAAGCAGTCATGCAGCCCTGGCAAAAGAGGAAAATAAAATAAAAAAAAATTAATTTTGCAGCACTGCCGCTGTCTCCCAACAGCTCTGGCGGAAAAGAGGGGAAAAAAAAATTTTGCAACACTGCTGCTGCCAACAGCACTGGCGGAATAAAAAAATAAAAATAAAAATTGTATGCGTGCAGCGCTGTTGCTAGCAGCTCTGATATATAATAATAATAAAAAAAAAAATTCATAGGCCTCTCAGCGCTGCCCCTTTACTAGCAGGCCTGATAACAATAAATAAAAAAAAAAACGTAACTTTCCCCCACTGTCCATTTAATTGCTTAAGTTGCATTCCATGCAACTAGCCAAATTCCTGGACGGTGGGTAAAGGGTGTCAATTGCCATGCATGGCAATGAAATCATCTTTGTGAGGATTGGTTTTAGGTTAATTCAATGTTTGGTTGGTTTTGGGCTAATTATGTGTTGTGTCAACAATTTGGTTCATAATTCTTATAAACCAAATTGTGGGGGGCATTTGTTGACACCTAAAATTAATTTGTCCTGAATTAAATGCCGCATTAATTAGTCTCGGCATTTAATTCGATACCGCGGGTTTAAAACGGTGTCGTTTGGAGTTGAGCGGTGTCGCGGAGAGTTAAAACGATACCGCGAAACAGAAAAGCGGTACCGCGACACAGACAACGACACCGCCGGAAAATAAGATGGGGCCGCGTTATGGGAAACGACACCGCTTAATGAAAAACAAGAGGGGCCGCGCGTGTAGTTGGGTTGGAGAAGGGAGTTTTATAATTAATTATTACTTATTCCTCATCGGAAGAGGAAAATCGGCGCCGAGGAACATTAAAACGGTACCGCAAGGGAGCTCAGCGGTACCGCGGCATTGGAAACGGCACCGGACACCGAAAATAAAATAAAGGGCCGCAATATTGCAAAAGGCTAGGGGAGACAAATAAAACAAATACATCAAAGCTCCACCGTTTGGTTCACAGCAGCGTTGGGGGTTTTTCGGAGAAAGGAAGCCGCGCCGGGGTAGCCTAGAACAACGTTGCAGAAAGGAAAGTTCATAATGGATCGATTGGGTAAATAACTTTGGCCACAGGGATCATTCGCGTGAGAGTAGTAAAATGCGGTCAAGGCTGTTGAGGAACCCAATCGTACGTGGAGTAGTAAAAAAGTAAAACGTTGTTGTTTTATCAACACAGCGTTGCGGGCTAAGAAAAAACCTCACCGCAACGTTGTATAGAGGCCGAACAATGTTGTGGCCACAATAAAGGAAGATACAGGACAATCGTGGGGATTACGGAAGCTTGCAGGCTTGTTGGGCATAAATCAAGAAACAGACACACCGTCATATTTGCCCCCAAACGTTGCGGAGCAAAGGAGACTGCAGGCCTGCGTTCTTCTTTTTCCGTCTCGCTCAAGGTAAAACATTGATGTGGTGTATTATTGTTGTTGCGTTCCACTAAAACACGTTTGTGTAATGGCCTTGGTGTCGCAGCGTTGTATAATTGAGCAACGTTGTTGGCTTGAAGCAATGCTGTAGTCGCAGTAATGAGAGGGATTTATAAGCTGGCCAAGTTTATTTATTGATTTTTAATTTTGGCCCAAAGCCGCGGAATTGGCCGCAGCATTGCTGGCGAGAGGGGAAAGTCCAATACGGCTGAAACTCCACCGTTGAGGATAGGAGAGGAACGAAACTGGCTGTTTGTGGTTAGAATTTGATTGCAATAAAACGGTACCGCAAGGAGGCTCAGCGGTACCGCGGTACTGGAAACGATACGGAAGAATAAAAAAGAAGAAGGGCCGCGCGTGGGGTGTCTTGTGGGAGAAGGAGTTTTGTTTTTAATTAATTAATATTTTCACTCCTGGTTGGAGGAGGAAAATCGGTACCGCGGAGGAAAATCGGTACCGCGAGAGCTTGGCAAGCGGTACCGATGGGCAAGTGACCAAAATTCACACGGCCCAATGCGAGCGCCCACTCCGGCGGTACCGTGGATTAATATTTTTGGCTAAATCGACGGTGTCGTTTAATTTAAAACGGTACCGCGAGTAGACCCAACGGTACCGCGGATTAGCAAACGACACTGTTTAATAAAAAACAATGTCGCAAAAGGCAAAACAAACGGAGCCGTTTTGGCTCTAACGATGTTGTTGTTCGTGGACTAGTGATGGTCAGTTAGTTAATATTTTAATGACTTTTTTAGCACGGTGTCGTTAGTTGGAAACGATGCCGCAAAGGAAAGAAACGATACCGCGAGCAGGCCAAACGAGGCCGCAACCGTTAAAACGACATTGTTTAAGATTAAAACAGTGTCGCGAGGCTCAAAAATTCAACGACATCGCGGGACAACGAAATGATGTTGTTTAACTAAGAACGACGCCGAGGGGTGAGAGTTTGGCGGCGAGAAAACAATGCGGGTGTTTTAATTAATTAGTATTGTATAACTATTTTAGACGGCGTCGTTTAGTTGAATACGACGCCGCGGAAGGTAAAAACAACCCTGCGGTACTAGGAAAGGAACGACATTGTTTAGTCAAAGACAATGTTGCAAGAGTTTGACAGTGTCGTGAAAGCGATACCGTTTTGCCCAAAACAAGGTCGCGAGTTCGACGACGTTGATGAGCTTTAGTTCAGTGTTGAGAAATTCAACAACACCGTGAATTCAACAAAGTTAGGCATCAATGGTGGGAATCCGACGAGGCCGGGATGCTAAGAGCTACGTCAATGTTGTAAGCCATGAATCACCATCGAAAGTGGCATTGATATTGTGAGTGCATCGATATTGCAAGGCTGGGAGCTCAGCGTTGCGGTGTTGTTTGTCATACGCCGCCGTTTTATGAACAAGAATGAATGTAGTTTGGCTTGAGAGGTTGGGGTGGATTATCGAACCCGGGTGGATAATTACAAGGGTGGCTCAATGTCGTTTTGTCAAGTTGCTACGTAGCAAAGCGGTTTCGCACTCGTGGGAGTTACGCAACAAGGAGGAAGTTACCTGCGCGGTTGACAGGAGTGAAGACGTGGGAGACAAAGGCGCGAAGGCAGTTACGGCGACGAGAAGAAGCGCGAAGTATAAAGACTGGGGAGAGAGAGAAGTTAAGGGACGGCAAAATCAAATCACAAACTGCACCGTCGCAGATTTTATCTTTTCTCTCTCTAGTTCGTAGAACCGCTCTGTCAAAGAACTCCTTTGCAGAGTCGTAGATCGTAGCTTGTAGTCGTAGTCGCGGAGCTCTCCAGAGGAACCTCCATAGGAGTAGAGGTAACGTAACTTAGAACACTCCTGGTTCGATTTTCTGTTTATTCGAACACCCTCGTTCGAACGTAGTTTGGAGAGGTGTTGAACCGAATAACAGTTGTGTGATTAGAAGTCAAAGGTGTATCGATCAAATCAACGACGCCGACACCGGCGGCGGCCATTTGACGATCGTCTTTATTTCTGTTTTAATCGATCAAATCAACGGCGCCGACACCGGCGGCGGATATTTGACGATTTTTTGCTGACGTGTGCTTTGTGTTTTACTTGAAAACCAGTGCACATTGAACACGCGAGTTTCGCCAACGAAACACTAAGCCTTATTTTCTTTTCGTATTACGGATTTACGCGCGACATATGTTGACACCGTCATTAGTCAGCACAATCCCAGCCCCCCATACGTACACTTTTATGCATCCTCTGCTTTCTTAGCTTAGCAACCTATCTCTTGATATAGTTTTGTTGATGTCGTGATTGCCATCTATCTCTTTAATGAAATTTGGTAATAGACAAAGCTTAAATGAATTATTCCAACAACTTAAAAAAAGACAAATTTTACTACCACAATAGCATATGAAAACAGAACTAAACATTTTTTTTTTTTTTTTACTCTCAAATTTCACCTATAACTAAAACAGAAAAGTAAAATTATTCAAAATAGAACTACATATTCTCTTCTTCTAGAAAAAAAAAACCATTAATAAGCAGAAATCAAGGTAAGGAGATATTTGGGTTAACCAAACTTTTCTAGATGGGCTGACGGCCGGCCCCCTTCCTTGTTATTTCAGTTTCTTGTTTTCAGGTGGATCTCATTCTCATCTAATGCTAAATAAATGAATCTCTGGAAGTTGGGACTCAGTCTCTCTCTTCTCTCCTCTGAATTTGACCCCAAATCTGTACCCTTCTAGCTACAATCTGGGAAGTCAAAACTCAAAACAGAACAAAAAAAGACATTTGGACTCGAGAATCAAAACATCAATTTTACAAGTCTACGCAGCCAACGTGGAAGTAGCATACATGTATCTTACAGAGTAACGGCACAAGTCATTTTCCAAACTATACTAGTACATATGCATAGAGTATATACACGTTGCTGTCTCATCGTTCTTGTGCTACTTCTCCAATAACAACACCACCATTTTGTCCCTGCCAAATGCCACTATTTGAATAGGGAGACAGACAATGTCGTTTTCCACCACAGCTTTAGCTTAGAGAAGGATGAAAATGATGGTAGAACAAACCACCATATAATTAAGTGCAACAACAGCATAGGAAGAAAGCATATTCTCAAATCTGAACTGGAGTGTGGCAGCAACTCCAACACCCAACCGGCTGCTGATAGTCAACTGACTGGGTGGAAGGATGCCAAGTGCATGGTTTCCCTGTGCCGAGCTAGAACTAGAACCTAACAACTCGTTTTCTTCTCCATTGGACACTTTCTGGAGGCAGTGCAAAATAAAGAAACCAAAAGCCAAGAAATGAGAGGCAGGCTGCTGATGCTCCTGGACGACCAGCAACCTAAACAATCCATGACATGCTCCTGTTAGGGCTCATACGCTTGATTCTGCCGTGCCTATGGAGGATTGATTGATTCGATCGAGAACACGGGTACTGAGTGGTCTGTTCTTTCCATCTTCACTCGATGCTTCCAGCCTCCGAACGGTTCTAGCATCTGAAAATAAAGTGACTGGGCTCTCGTCACGCAAAACTTTAGATAACAACACTTTAGTCAGGCAGAATAACAGATACCACAGAAACTATCTTACTTTGTATCCACATATCAAGTGACTTCAGATTGCAAAATTGCATTTAGTGAAAGGAGATGGAAGGAAAACAACAGCAACGGAAACACTATCAACCACTGAGGAGAATATGCCCGACTAAACTGGATTTCAGCGGTGTAACTTGTACAGGCCTAGAGCGTACAAGTTGCAACTATCTATCTTAAGATAAAAGCAATCAACAAGTTAGGCAGCAAACTCCGGGTGGGAAATCTCGAATACAAATTGGCTTACTAGTGATTTAGGCATTTAGCCCGTCTCTTTTAAGCCGTTTTATCCTCTCAAGAGCACCAAGTGCAGTAGGAGCATCATGGCCTTCATCGCCGCTGGCTTTCTCTGCATCATCCCTCTTTCGAACCAATCCACCAAAGACCTCGGAGGGGACATCCTTTTGTGCAATTTCGAGGGTCTCAACATCACCATCCGAGTCACTTTCGTCGGGAAGTTCAATGTCTTCTTGGTTCCTGGTGACCTTCAGCCCTGCGTCCGTCTGTGTCTGCACTCCTGCGCTTACAAACCCAAGTGTTGTCCTGTTGTTGCTATCTTTGCCATTCTCAGGGGTGCTAATTGGTGCTAGTTGCTTTTCAAGAGCAGCCATTTCATCCTCCGGTAGCCCAGCTTGTTTCAACTTGTCCTTGGCATCATCGATGCTCATCTTTTGATCCTTCTGCATCATATATTCTGGTAGAATAAAGTGTGTCTGCAGAAGTACCAAAGACAAAAAAAAAACGTAAGAACAAAGTTCATAATAAAAAAAAATCATCCAAACAAATTCTAAAGTAAAATAAAAAACATAAAGATGAGTAATGTAACATGTTAGATTGTTTGACAACAATACACACAAAACCATCAGTAGTATATAGCTCAATGCACTGGCGGAAAATTGCCAACAAATGCCACAAGTTTAAGAGGCATACACAATCCAGGATACTACAACACATAGAATGCCATGAAACCAGAACAAAAACTGCAGCATAAAGATCTATACTGAATTACTGATAACTGCAATTGTCACGCTCCTCCCCCGCATTCAGTTTTCATTCATCATTTTAGGCCACTTGGAAGTTTTATCAATCATGAACATAGACTCACCAGTTCCAATTGCACATGAAACAGAAGACGAAGGTTTGATTACTAACATTTACATTATTATCACAGTCCACGTCCTGAAAGGAATCATATCTCTAATGTAGGTGACTATTTTACTTTGTTTGCCTACCGGGGTCAAAAACAACCTTCTGATAATAAATAACGGAGTTGGCATGGTAACCATTCATACAATCTCAATTCGCAGTAAATAGACTTGATTCGCATTGTGTACCGTACAGAGGATTTGCAGTGAACTATGCATGGAACATGAAATAGAGAGGATAAGCAAACATACCTGGCTATAGCTAGCAGAAACAGTACGTTTGATCCGCAACATTTCACGGAAGGTATCCTCATTTCCATGGAGAACCTCAAACTGATGCCACTTAGTCCAGAAATCTTGATCAGATCTTGGATCAGCAAACTGAGAAGCAAATCCATATATCCCTCGTGCCCGATCTATTTCTCCCAAGTTCTTCTCTAGCTCTGCATACTTGAGACACATTTTCTTAACATCTTTGTCCGGGAGACCAGACTCAATTGCTTGTTCATATATCTCTCTTGTTTTCGGGACACCAAATATCTCAGCAGCTCGGGCAATGTAAATTTCATACATGCCCAATTTCTCACTATTTGGAACACCCTTGGTGGCTTGATCATAGACCTTCATAGCTCGCTTCGCCAAGCCATAATCCTCTTCCAGCTTTGCATACTGTAGATACAATGGTTTAACAGAGTCTGCAGGAGTCATCTCGATGGCATGTTCAAACAATTCTCTAGCTCGTTCCAGCTTTGTCTTGCCATATCTCTTCACAAACTTTGAAAGATATGTCACCCATATGTCCTTCACATGTGGGTACTTGAATATTTTGACTCCTCTCTCATACACCTTGAATGCGTCTTCAAAATACTTATTTCCCTCCAGAAGGAATGCATAATTTATTATAATCTGCGGAGTAGCTATTCTTAGGTCCAATATTCGCTCATAAACAGCACGAGTCGACTCTAGTGTACCAAGACCCTCCTCTAGGTCAACATAGAAGGTCCAGAGTCTCAAGGACTTGTGCAACTTCATCTGGACTGGTTCATTCCCATCAGCAGCCACTCTTCGTTTGACCTCAACTGATGGCTCTGCTGTCGCTCGCCTAAGAAGCTCCAAAGCAGCTTTGAAATTTTTGTGTCTGATTTCCATCTCTGCCCACTCACACCACACACTAGCCAAATTATCAACAGTCTTATAATTTACCTGCGCTGCCTTATCAAAAATCACTCTCGCATTGACAAGATCATTATGCTTCTCATACAGCTTAGCGAAAGCAATCCAAAGAGTGTGAGGCTTTCCAACTGCTTTCATCGGATCAACAGTTCTTACAGCCTCAGTATATGTCAATACCTGCTTCTCGGGATTACCATCAAAGAGCTTCACCCTCCGGTGCCATTGTTCCACATTGTGGGGATTTTGCCTCAAGAGAACACTATTAGCCAATTCAGGCCTTCTTTCCATTAGATAGTCAAATCTTGCCAGCATCAGATCCACATCCTTATCATCATTAAACCAAAAACCAGAGAGTAACTTCTTCTCGAAATTTTTTAACTTGACTTCCAGCCGAACGTCCACTTCCAAATCAATCTCCTCCAGACCGTCTTCTTCCTCATCATCGCTAGAGTCCAAATTTTCAATTTTATGATCAGCCATGCCTTGCTCAAACTCAGCATACGCATCAAAGATCACACTGAAATCCCTCACTGTGATTACAGTGGTCATACCCTCCTCAAAAATGTCTCTTGCCTTATCAAACAAGGCCCTTCTGATATAATAATCTGCTAGAGATGTCCATAATCTGCCAATTTCATTTGTATACTTCCTAATCCCGCCTCTAATTATTGCATCCACGCTGATCCCAGAAACATCTTTGGCATGCCTGGTGAGCAAATCGCAAAGTTCAAGCCACAGCGTGTGCTTCGTTTTTCCTTTCAGTGAATAAAACTGGTCATCATTCAAAACCGATGCCAACCTCTCAGCTGACTCTTGCCAAAGACGCGAGTTCACCAAGAACTCAATGAAGTCCTCGATATGACCAGGATCGTACTTCAAATACCTGCGATAGACTCTCAACGAAGTCTCGATCGGAACCCCTTCCTGACTCACAAACTTCAAGTACAGCTCCCAGATCCTATCGTGCTGCGTGACGGGCAAAGCACGAAGTGCCCGGTCTGCAGCTCGGCGAGTGAGCTCGATAAACTTCTGCCTCGTCAACGTCTGCAAGTACATTATCCAGACACGAGGCATCTTGTGCATTGTAACCAAAGCTCTCTCAAAAGTATTGTTGAGAGTCCTGTACTCGGAGTGGGTAATGGGTAGGTTTCTAACAACATCCAGGCGTTCAGTGAGATAGGCATGCCAGAGCTTGTAACTTCCAGGCAAAGCCTTGAGTGCCCTCTCGTATATTATAAAACGCTTCTTGAAGGGGGCTTCTCGACGGGCAACTAGGTACCGCCACCACAGCTTCAGGCTAAATGGGTTTCGCAAAAGCTCTTCCTCGTAGGGTAGATCGTCCTGAGAGGGATAGAGCTCTCTGGGGATTGCCATAGTGATAATGACGAAAGCTAAATTTCTCTCTTTTCCACGGGACTGGACCAATGTAAACCCTAGGAACTTGAGTGGTAGAAATTTGGGTCAGTCCCAATCGAGAAACGGAATAAAACACAGAAGCTACAGCAGAGATAACTGACCGCAGCACGGATGTGAGGAAGTTGGACGGTGGCGTCGGCCTGTCAATTCAGCCGAGAGACAAGATCACGGCGAGACCTCAGACTAGCCGACGGGATGATTACGAAATGGCGGTAGTGCTATTCGGATTTTGACCCTCAAATGGAAGGGACGGAAGTCGCACAGCGGCGATAGGTTGACGGAAACAGAGACTAATTACAAGTAGCCCCATACACTAGGATTACTAACAAAACAATCACTCACATTTTATTTTTTAACATAGTCATATATGAATCGACAGTCGAAGTATTTACCAAGTATCCATTTATTATTTTCTCTCCAAATTATAATAATTAGTAGATCACGTCATTCAAGTTAATATACGGAAATCTAAGCCTACTCGCGAAGACAATGATATTAAACTCAATCAAACCTAATTGGACTCGACATTTATGACTTTGTATATCATTGTCAACATAATGTGAACATTATCGAACACACTAAAAAAGGTTTCTATAAGAAAGTGTACATGAAGTAGTTGATCATGTTTAAAGAAGTCTTTGTTGAATGATAATTGTTTTTTATAATGTTCCATATGTATAAGATTGAACCCTAAGAAGATTAGAGAATTTGTATGTGAAGGGTGTAATTTTTAGTTGATGTATTTGATAACACCTAAAATACATGCTATTATCCTTCTTTATATATAGGTGTTCTCATGTCATTGTTGAGATTAATTGATCTTCAAACTTTCGCATATGATCGCTTCGTATTTTATATGGAGGTATGAATATGTTGGTTTAGGTGGATTGAATTGGATTGGAGTTTAGGGCAACAGTGTAGGAGACTACAAGAGGAGGAATTCTTCTGCTACAACGAGACATCACGTCCGTGACATGAGAGTTCATGGTTGGGATCTTTATACCCAGGTCGTGAGCCCTAGCAACAAGAAGAATCGAGAAAACACAAGCTATTGTGATTGGACTCGCAAGTGCTTGAAGAAAACCACGACCTACGAGTTCACAATCATGATCTCTGAGGAAACTCATGATAGAAGGACGCCGCCTCAAAGAGTACAGGACATGCACCAAGCTCATGGTTGTGTCCTTAAGTAAATCTCAACTGTGAACTAGTCTGGATTCCCCACCCTTTAAAAATAGTTGGGGTTCAAGGTAAAAAAAGAGCATATTTTCGAACACAAAGCACAAAAGAGAGAGAAAAGAGTCGAGGGTTGTTCTTTGAATACGAGAAGAGACTTGGGGAAGAAGATTAGGAGGAGCATCTAGGAGTTTGGAGCTCTTTTTATTGAATAATTAAGAGTTTCAAGCTGATGATTACAACAAAGAAGTCCAGCGAGGCCACGCTTTACTTCATTTGGCCGAATTAACTGAGAGTGTTGCTCCAATCGGTCAACTCAACTATAGTAATATGCAAACAGGTGTCAGAGATTCGATTGGATAACCGGGTTGATTTGATCCGATCTACCTGCTCTATTCAAGTTGGAGGCGTGGTTACATTAATCTAATTTCATTCCTTCATGCTTCTAATTAGAGTGTACATTGGTCGATTCGGTCTAGAATGAAACAACTCCAAATAAGAGCAAACCAAAAAAAAATAAAAGTAAGAGTTAAAATCGGACCTAAACTCAATTTAATTCAATCCAAATAACTGTTGATAAAATTCATTCCATGTGAATTGGATCGTTGCCAAACCCTACTTCTAAATTCTAATCCGTTTATCCTCCCTAATTACGCGTGTGCACCGAGCCAATCGGGTAATGAACCTCGAGGGCATATACGTTATTATACACTTCCAGCGAGTCCTTTTTCTTTTATGAGGGGGAATTACTTGGTCTGCTGTTATAAATACCTGAAAACCCTACTGCCACACTCGCCCCATCCTCGCCCTACGCTTTCCTCTCGACTGACGGCTAGGGTTTTAGCTCTCTGCGAAGCGAATTCTTCTCATCAGGTCCGTTCTCCGTTGTCCTTCTCATTCGATTTGATTGCTAATTGCTTTCGCTTCGTTCCGTTCATGCTTTCGGTGTATTCCTCCTCCGTCGATTTAGGATCTGTTTCTGTGTAATTCATTGCCGGTTGCTCTGATCCGAGATTTGGAACGGCATCAAGCTGGTGTTTGTTTACCGATTCCTTACTTTCCTTAAGCATCTGTGGCTCCCGGATTCTCTGTTTATCTTGAATACCGTTGGTTTCCTCTCCATGTTTCAGCTGGTTTCTTCGTTTTGTCGCATCTTGTGATTTAAGATTTATCGAACGCCAGTTCTTCCGATTGTTATTACTGCTGTCCTGTTTGTCTAGATATGTAATTATGTTGCTCCGTTGAGATTGTGAATCGTGGATCTGAACGAGTCCTCTTTCCCTGGAATATTTTTTATTATTGTTTGCAGCTAGGGTTTCGTCATCATGGGTAAGGAAAAGGTTCATATCAATATCGTGGTCATTGGACATGTCGACTCCGGCAAGTCCACCACCACGGGTCACTTGATCTACAAGCTTGGAGGCATCGACAAGCGTGTGATTGAGAGGTTCGAGAAGGAAGCTGCTGAGATGAACAAGAGGTCATTCAAGTACGCCTGGGTGCTCGACAAGCTGAAGGCTGAGCGTGAGCGTGGTATCACAATTGATATCGCTCTCTGGAAGTTCGAGACCACCAAGTACTACTGCACGGTCATTGATGCCCCCGGGCATCGTGATTTCATCAAGAACATGATTACTGGTACCTCCCAGGCTGATTGTGCTGTCCTCATCATCGATTCCACCACTGGTGGTTTTGAGGCTGGTATCTCCAAGGATGGACAGACCCGTGAGCATGCTCTCCTTGCTTTCACCCTTGGTGTCAAGCAGATGATTTGCTGCTGCAACAAGGTCTGTTCCTATTCATGTTCCCTTTATGTGTTCATTGTTTTCTGATGTGTTCGTTTGAGTACTAGTTAATTGTTCTTTAACTAATGGTTGTATCCTGCATTTGATGGTCAGATGGATGCCACTACCCCCAAGTACTCGAAGGCAAGGTACGATGAAATCGTGAAGGAAGTTTCATCCTACTTGAAGAAGGTTGGTTACAACCCAGACAAGGTTCCCTTCGTTCCCATCTCTGGGTTTGAAGGTGACAACATGATTGAGAGGTCAACCAACCTCGACTGGTACAAGGGTCCAACCCTTCTTGATGCTCTTGACAACATCAACGAGCCCAAGAGGCCATCAGACAAGCCACTCCGTCTCCCACTTCAGGACGTGTACAAGATCGGAGGTATTGGAACTGTGCCAGTGGGCAGGGTTGAAACCGGTGTCATCAAGCCTGGTATGGTTGTCACCTTCGGCCCTACTGGGTTGACAACTGAGGTCAAGTCTGTGGAGATGCACCACGAAGCTCTCCAGGAGGCTCTCCCTGGTGACAATGTCGGGTTCAACGTCAAGAATGTTGCTGTCAAGGATCTCAAGCGTGGGTTTGTTGCCTCTAACTCCAAGGACGACCCTGCCAAGGAGGCTGCCAACTTCACCTCCCAGGTCATCATCATGAACCATCCCGGCCAGATCGGAAACGGCTATGCCCCAGTGCTGGATTGCCACACTTCCCACATCGCTGTTAAGTTCTCTGAGATCATGACCAAGATTGACAGGCGATCTGGTAAGGAACTTGAGAAGGAGCCCAAGTTTTTGAAGAACGGAGATGCCGGGTTCGTTAAGATGATTCCAACCAAGCCCATGGTGGTTGAGACCTTCTCTGAGTACCCACCCCTGGGTAGGTTTGCCGTCCGTGACATGAGGCAGACTGTTGCTGTTGGTGTGATCAAGGCCGTGGAGAAGAAGGATCCCACCGGTGCCAAGGTCACCAAGGCTGCTGCCAAGAAGAAATGAACCGTGCAGGTCGACTGCAGGGAATGGAGCTTGGTCACTACAAGCCGGCGTGTTGCTGGAGGAGTTTCTGTTTCGTTTGAGAATTACAATGTCAGGTCATCACCATCGTCCCTTGGATGCAATTCACAGAATTGGGTCCTTGATAGGCGGTGGTGGAGTTATGGTGCTACTGTTTCGAGTTTCTGAGTCTTTTTGTGGTCGTTTCTATGTCGAGTCTAAACATTTTTAAAGTTTGTGTTGTTGCTACTGTTGGTATTTGCCCAAGGATTTTGCTCTGGAGTATTGAGTTCTCGAGCTTCTTTTGCTTCCAGGAATGGATGTCTCTTATAATTACATACTAGTTATATGTTCGTGGTATTGTTCCGTATAATGCCTGTTGCAATGTTTTTTGATTGATCAGTTGATTATGCTATGAGAATGGATGTTATGGAAACTTGGAAGAAAATTCATCCTTTCCTTCTTGTTCGTTACATCGATGGATTAGAACTCTGGGAATCTGATTCCTCTAGAAGTTCCCCTATTGTTTTGCTTCGGATCAAAAACATCAACCCTCGTTTTGGGACCGCGACTGCTGCACCGATGCACAAGATAAACAGTGAATATTCCGTCGTTTGGCTCAAAGCATATACCGAAATCGATTGAATCCTCTAAACTGCAGCTTTGTTTTTAAACCGAGCTTTATATTTGCTTCGTCGAGTTCGTGAAAGTTGGTATTAGAAATAGTACTCCCTAGTTTTGAATTTGAACCGTTGTATGAGAAATAGCACTTTCTGTATAAACTATAAAGTGAGGATTCTGGACTTGTGTACATAATACTGCGATAACTCTTGCAATTTCAAACATGAAAGATCTTCGAACAAATATTCTTCACCGCCAGCAAAACTTCAGCAACTCGATGGGATTCGACTGCATAAAATTATTATCTAAACTCCCTTCTACCTGAAACAGTTTTAAGCTAGTCATAAACCCAAGCTTAAATCGGGTAGGATCAAGTGTCGAGACCAGATAAGAGGAATTAAGCTCTCTGGTACATATTGCAAGGATGGTTCGGCCCCTTCTCCAATCACAAGTTCTTGAATGCTGATTCCCGCGTCTGCGGGGTAAGTCTGGCAAGCAATGCTTTGTTGTGGCAGTGCTCTTTGTCCACGAAGTAAAACTTACCATTGGCCATGAAGGACACAAAGGGTCGGTTGGTCTCCGCCACACGGATGTCTGCAAATCGGATGGTCTCCTTGGCAAACGTGGCCAGCCAGGACATCTTGTCCACCTCAAAGCTGTCGGAACCAGGCTGCCACCTCAGCCTGTGAATGTAAGGGCTCACGAACCAGTGCAGCGCCGCGGTGGTCGAGGCGCTGAAGAAGATCACGGATGATGCAACCGCACCCTTGAGGATCACGTTCGAATCTGTTGACGTCATGAAGGTGATGACGGGTCCCAGGGAGACCGACAGACAGCAGGTGGAGAGTGATAGCATCTTAACTTTCTTGATCGTTGATGATATGGGACCTCGATAAACAATCCCGGTCTCGTCTTCATCATCTTTGTCTTCTTCAGGTGATTTATCCTTGCGTGGACCAATGGAGATCCTGTTATCATCTTCTTCGGCAGCAGCAGCTTGAGATGCCCACCTTTTCTGCGCCGAGAAAGCAGGAGTGAAGCTGGGTCTAGCATTTGGATGGTGCAACCATGTGATGGTCCTATAGGGTTGACAACCTAATTGAGGGATGGAATCAACAACAAGGAGTTAGAAGTCTACACCTTCAAAAGAAAGGGATAAATATGCATGTTCTGATAAGCCAGTGGTTGGTTGCTGAGAAGCAACGATTCTGAAACTAGAATGCAGACACAGAATGTTCCTAAAACAATGATGCAGCAAACTATAGGAACATCACTAGCACAGAATACGGGGCAAAAAATGAAAACATGTTAAATGAACTCAATCTCATCATGTATCAACCAACCCGATCGTGCTTGAAAGGCATAGTTGGACAAAAAATTTATAAGAGAGATTGGATATAGTTTGATTACAAGCACAAGGCAAAGATCACACTAGGTTGAACCAGGTCAGATCAACAGTAACCAGGGAGGTTTACATGACCAAAACATTTGGTATATATAACTTAAACACTAACTTGGACATAGGGCGACTTGAAACATGAAGCATAATTAGCACAACCGAACTTGTCAAGCTAAAAGAGGGAAGCAGCCCTAGTTAGACTGTAGAAAGTAACTGAAAATATCCAAATTAGGGGTCCAACACTGTGAATTGTTAATAAGAACGGAATGGACACTATATGATTCTGAACACTCTGCAAAGGTAAATTCATTTTCCTTTGTACACAGACCGTTAAATGATAACTGTCTGGGAGTTACAGCTCAAAACACCGATTGTGCAATAGTAAGCTACAGACTGCAAGCAAAAACTAGGATAGGATCATGGCTGCTACCCCAGGAGAATCTAATCAGGACATCCTATCAACAAGAAATTGAAGCCAATCTCTATAAATGTTCAGTAGAAACTACCACCCTGAATGAAACTAGAAAGTAGAAACAGGAGATGCTCACGAGTAAGACAGGAAAAAAACCCAGAGACCCGCTCAAAATGGTCACATCTAAGAGCTACAAGACCACAGAATTTGTTCCCCATTCAACTCAAAAGACCTTGTCAGCAGAAGAGGTGACAGAACCAAATTACAAGCTTAAACCAAGAAAAGATCGGAACTTTCTTCTCCTCGTACAATTCCAGTAAAAGGGTATTAGGTCAGGTCAGCATACGATGCTTCTGCAGTGAGAAACGAGAACAACAAACCTGAAGGTAAGCGGTTGGTGGCAGAAGATATGCATCTGGTTGGAGATCGGATCAAGTGGAGAAGAGCTGCCCGTCCCATTTCTTCGCTCCGTGGTCGAAATTCCTTGATTCGCAGTGCAGAGAAAGCTTCTAACAACGAACTATTGTTTACGGAGAGAGAGATCGAGTTCAGGGCAGGGTTTTTGGGTTTCGACACTCGTCGACGTCGTCCCAAGGTTTTTGGTTCCGCAATCGAGGTCGGAAAATGGGCCACAGAGCCAAGCAAGGCCCATATCGTTTGGCTTGGGCTGACCCACATTTAACTTGTTCTGATTCCAAGCAAGGCCCATAACGTTTGGCTTCATGAGATGTAATGGAGCTGGTGAGCAGTCCAAACAAGTATTTGCTCTGCAATAGAGAAGCTTTTAGAACTAAAAGTGCACTCACGTTTGAGAGTCAGCATTGGTTCAGACAGACAAGACTAACCAAGTTGCTGATACCAAAAAAACAAAGCCTGACAATGCGCAGAAAGTCGAATGACTGCTGACGCTTAGTGGTTTCGTCAACCACAAAACAAGAGCATTCGGAGGAGAACTCTGCTGTCGAATCATCTAACAGTTTCGATGTCAGTTGATGAAGAATGCAGCATACACCATAGAAAAGAAAACTGCAATAAAATGGCATAACCATCAAGATAATCTCGCTGAAAGAAGAGAATGCAGGAATAAAAATGACTTGATTCCTTCATTGCCGATAGTTGGTCAGCAATCCAACTCGTCAATCAAGCAACTCAACCAGCTGACGATTATACATACAAAAGAACACAACAGTACAGAAGGGCGCTTTCCAGCTAGGGGCTTCCAATGTCACCTCCTCCCTCTTCCGCATTCCGACTACACTGAAATATGCAAGAATGCATCTATAAATAAACAAGGACCATTCTCTCTCAACTCTCTGTTCTAGTATGCTTGGTTTGACTGCTTCCAGAAGAGCATACAAGCAGTTACATCCAGATCCCATCAAGTTAGACTAGTCAAATGAGGGGTAGCTGTCCAGAGAAAAATGGAACATAACTTTGTTGAAGGAGCTGCTGCAAATAGACCTGTCATTCCGGAAGTGGGTCAGGGACATTGCTTGTAGCAGTTGTATCAGCGGCAGCAGAATTCTGCTTCCTTTCTGCCTGAAGTGATCTGCACAATGATTCTAGTTTTTCTTTCTGGTTCTTGGTTTTCTCCAGTTGTTTCTTCATTCTTTCCCGCTGCCCAACCAAGCGAAATGGTATTCAGGTATAGAAGTTGGAAACGGGGCCTAAGCCAATAGAACTGATATTCGTCGAAGTGGTACCAAGAGCCAAATGTATTTGCAGTTTTGAATGAGAGCTAAATTTAGAGAAACAATCAAACAGAAAGAAAAGGCAACTACCTCCTCGAGGAGCTCAATAAGGGTAAAATCGGATTTGTCACATTTACTCTTCAAAAACGTGTTCTCCTTCTTCAGTTCCTTTATGGACTTTGCCATCTGATAGTTATGGTGTCGGGTTAGTATCAAGATAGCATGTTGTTTCCTATGTACTTACGGGAGGAAATCAACAGATTTCTCTCCCAGCATGAAGTTTCTGGCAGGTAAACGTGAAAATACCTTCTCAATCTCTTGCTTGAATGTTTCAAAAACTTCATTGCTCTTCACTAATGCTTCCTGCAAACCATCACACGCAGATAAGAAAGACCAAAGAAAAGGAAACATGTAAAGATAGATTTCCCCCGAAGGAACGCCAAAAAAGATGACAGTTTTCACATTTGGAACAACAATCTTCTTGTTTGTGAATCATTACTTCTTTTGATTAAAGGATCCAGACCTGGAATTGTTGAAACTTCTCCCCATCTGCCGTCAATTGCAACCTCAAATTCTTTTCGGTTGATAGTAACTGTGACACCTGTTCAGCATAAATTTTCATCTGTGACTGCTCCTGGACTAATTTTTCCTCATGCTGCTTGATCTTTAGATCAGAGATCTGAAGTTCCAGGCTTTTCTGTTTTAGCTGCTTGCCAATTAAATGGAGAAATTACTCACGAGCACTTAATATGATAAACCAGCAAGTAATTTATTTAGTTTATGAAAATGTTAGTCAGCTGATACCTTCTGTGCAAATTGCTGTTCAGAAAGCGTATACTGCTCAGCAAGTTGCTTCAGCTTGGTTCTTAACCTACAAAAAGCACAATTGGATGGTCATCTAGGAAGCTTCATCAATCATATTTCATACATGGACATTCCAGTATACAAGATATGACATTATTTCCGAGTAAGCAAAAGCCCCAATACGCCCTAGAATTGTATAGAATAACAAAGTTTTGAGTAAAGATGGAGGTTAAGCATTACTACATGTTCTGACAATATTGCATCATTTTGTTATGACAACCAAAAAGAATGGAAGTTAGTAGGTTACGTTAAACAAAAGTTCATTAAATATCATGCCTATGTATACTGTTGTCATGTAGTTCAGAATGTCACCTTGCCGTATATACAGAATCAGATTCAAACAAGAGTAAGAAAAGCATTGAATAAGTGGAATAGTTTAACATACATCTCATTTTCCCTCAACTGACAGAGACTTTCTTCCTTCTGCTCATCCAGCTTATTGCTCACATCCTAATCCAGAAAAGAAGCTGATTCAGATGCAAACTGATGCCATCCAGACCATATGCTCACATGAACAAAATAAGGATTTCAAAGTGTCTATCAAACCTTAATTGCATCTTGAAACCTGGCAGATAGATCCAATCTCAAACTTTGTCCTTCGGTTGATACTCTTTTGCACTCATCCTGTCAAATTATTAGTCAGTCAAAGACTACCTAGTGTAGAGGAAAGACATGTTCCTCTTTCCCATTCATAAGACAAAGCTTTACTTGTAGACTAAAAGTCGGACCAGAAGTTGGACAACAAATTGCCTAAATGGAAATTCATTTCTGTTCTTTCCGTTCATTCCATTTCAAAGTTTTTTGAAGTATCAATGAAGTATCAACTAATGTAGGAGAGGTGATATTTGAAATCCCATCTTTTTCTTTTTGTTTCACAAATTCAGAATTTTTAACCTCGGGAAGTTAAACGTCAAAAAGTGGTTCCTGCAAATCAATAATCAGGAGTAGCTTTGGCTTTAATGACTTGAGGCGGGCACAATACCAGTCAATAGTCAATGGAATTCTAATTGATATGACTTGCAGCAGACAAGCACTTAAAATAAGGGTTTGGTGTGGTTAACAAGGAGCCAAATTTATATACAGTTTCAGTACGGTTTTTCTATACTTGATGATGTTGTCTTTAGCAGTTTAAGATTCAAGTGAACCAGGCAATGCAGCAGGGCTATACCATTAGTACTTTATTCTGGCGTTGCAACTCCCTACACAGTGACTCGAGCTTATTACGGACAATGATAGCTGCAAACACATAAATCAAGAAGAACATATTACGTTGTAAGATTGGAGATGGAAAATGTTAACAATCTCACTTTTTCGTAATTGATTAAATAGTTGTGACTCTTCTAAAGGAAAACTCGTAGAAAATATTCGCATAATCACCAAGGTAAACCTTTCATCATCGACTTCTAAATATACAGGAAACCTATGAATAAAGAAAGTTCAGTGACCAGTAAAAGCATAATATAGCTATTTTTATGTCACCTTTAGAATTTCGGTCTGTGGAACCTCTAATATAACAACATAAAATCCACTTTTTGGCATTGTAAGTATATTTTCAACTCACACCGAGATGAACAGAATGATCTCACTGGCAATTCTACAAAAGCATCTTAAACTACAAACTATAGCAAAACTGTTAAGCTATTTAGGTATTTTTCAGGCACTAATATTTGCATATTACCATTCTCAGGCTAAGTTTATGTTACCTGTAGAACAGCGAAACAAATGTACTAAGAATAGATTAGAAAAGCAATCACTTAATGAAATAAGAAAAGAGCAAATAAGGAATAAAGGAACCAGAAATATGGCCCTAAACCCAAGACAATAAAGGAACAACTTCTACAAAACAACAAACTATTGTGAGATTTGGAGTTTATATGCACATTAAACGACACAAAAGTAAAATTTCCAACACTAAAGACCTCAAAACTCACCAGCATCTCTTTCAGAAAGAACTTGCTGATACTTCAAAGTAAACTCTAGAAACTCCTTCTCTGCTTTAAATGTCTTTTTAACATTCTTACGTTTATTTTCAGAAGTTTCCTGCAACAGCGAATCATCATTATGAGACAAATACAACCATTTTGATGGTTGATCTCTATCAATTGGGCATATCAACAATATACACATTTAGATCTCTGACAGTCATAACACACCAACTTTCAGTGTCAAGCTGTCGCCAAAATCCTTCACTCAAACATGAATATGCAAAAGAAATAGAACGAAAGGAGCAGAGTTAAAATACAACTTATTTACTTGGTGAACCAGAGCTACAGCCTGAGTTAAATATAAGTCATTAGGTGGATTCTACAAACAAAACGGCTTTCCTCTTTATTGGATGCCCTTCCATTCTCAGACCAGGAGGAAAGTTGAACAGAGATTCTAATTTTAGACGTTATTGCATGATGCAAATGATGTGCAGATTCCCAATTCTCATCATAGCAAACAAAATTGATTAATGAAATGAGAAAGCAAAATTTATATCCAAATCTGCTCTACAAACAATAGGTACATGACTAACCTGTTTTCTGCTCCCTGGTAACCCGATGTTTTCCAAGGAAGATATTTCTTTCACATCCACATTTTGCATGTCTGAAGTGGCTTGAACAGCTGTAAGCCAAAAAACAGATCACAAACAATCCCACACCACGAATCTTATTAAAAAAAAAAATGAAAATGCAATGGAAAAAAGTTCAATTACATCTCTGTGAATTTTGACTGTCACTGTCGACACCATCTTTTGCGTCATTGCTGGTTGCTCCAGGGGGAGCTTCAGAAACTTGATCCACTGAATCAGGGATCCTTACTATATCTTCTTCTGTTTTAGGGGGCAGTTCTATCACATGCACTGAACCTTCAGACACATCAGATTCAGACAGCGGAACAGGAAAAGTCCGTGTCTTTTCAGTTCTCTGACTTCCAGGATGACTTGGTGTCGATTCATTCGAGAGCTCCAGCGGTCCTGGCAAATTAGGATGATGCAGATCAGACATTGTATCTTCTTCGGTATCATGACTCCGTGGCTTCTCTTGTTCTACAGTTGGGGTTGCAGGAGCCACAGGCTCCGTGGAGCTGTCAACAAATCCATCCGGCATTGCATCTACTTCCGGAAGCTGATTTGCATCTAGATTCTCCATCTTACCCTATATATTTTCACCATAACCACTTCCATTACCAGATATCTAGATTCTACTCATGAACACTACAAACACAAGGCATGATAGAAAGCAATTGACAATGCTGAAAGCAAGAAAATTTCTGACATTCATACTGTTCTCGCCACCATTGCAAATAAGAATCCACATTATGCAAACAAAACATGACAGAAAACCCTGATTATTTCATTCGCAGTCACTCAGTCAATTATCAATGGGGTGGTTTTCTTGGGCGGAAGTGAGAAATGAAAACAGGAAAACAAATGAAATCATGCCATTCAACAGGAACTGTCATGGAATCAGTTCTCTTTTCCTGCATTTTTCTCGAACACCAAACGGAACTAAACCCCCGCCGATTAGACAAGTCGAAGACTTTAAGCGAGCAAGGCCGCGGAAAGGGTAAAAAGGAGAGTCGTGAATCTAGAGCATACCACGGGGTTGCAAGGCGCAGGGAGATGGTTTGCCTGTTCCGTTACTGGGTGGGCTACTCCAACTCTTTCTACGGGGAAATGAAAGGAAAGTTAGAACTGAAACTGGTGAAGCGTAGAGCTGCGACTGCGAGCCAAGCCGTATCTTGACAGCATTGTTTTTTCCCCCCTAAATCCTAATCCTTTTACTGTTTTACTTTTACATGTACCGTCGAAAACACAAACCCCGACAAAATCTTGAATGATTATCAGCATTAGCACTAACTGTTTTTTTTTTTAAAAAAAAGAGGTGACTTTCATTTCATTCGAACAAGTACAAGAGAGACTTCATTACACTCTGTTTGGCAACAAGGGGGTGCAAATTGCAGGAGGGTGCAAGTTGAGGGGCAAATTGCTGGGGGTGCAAATTGCTGGGGGGTGTAAGTGGAGGGGTAAATTGTTGTTTGGATGAAAAAGTAGGGGGGTGCAAATAAAGTGCAAAGTAAGTAATTATATTATTTTAAAATAGATTTTAAAATTATAAAATAGATTTTAAAATTATAAATATTATCATAAAATGATAAAATAAATATTACTATATAATAATAAATATACTTTACTAAAAATAGTTATTATATAATAATGCTCAAATAATAATTAATTATAACAATTGTAATAATCTTGATCGAGCGATCTCAAAACTCGAAGCTCAACTCCTAACTGGTCATCCTATATAGGGTTTTCGTGTCTAGTTTAATCTTAAATTGTCAAACTTAGTCAAACACGTTCGAATTTGTAAGTTTTAACTATTTAGTCAAATAAAATGAGTTAACCAAACAATTTCTCTCTATCTTTTCCACAAACACCTTGTATATCTAATTTTCAATGCAAATTCGATTCAACCAAGAGATCTAGATTTGACTTGACGAACATTTATAAACTTGTTTCCAGAGTCAAATGGTCAACCCCGAATAATGTTTACATTAATGATATTTATAAAAAGAAGAAATTGATAATATTAATTATTATATAATTATATATAACACAATTAGAAAAACAAAATTCCATAATTCCCCCCTCCCCCTCTCTTCCTTCCTTCCTTTGCACCCCAATTCGGGGGGTAAGCCGAAACAGTAAATTTGCACTCTCGTTTTGCACCCCCCTACTGTTCCAAATTAACCAAACAGGTGCAAATGTGTTGGAAACTGTGTTTACCCCTCACATTTGCACCCTCCTCCCATTTACCCCTCTTCCCAAACAGAGTGGTAGTTTACAACAGTGGAGCAATAATACTAGAAATTATAATCCAATCCACAGGTAATGAACCAAACCTAGCTTGATTAGCAACATAATCCGCAAACATGTTCAGCCTCCTTGGAACGAACTCAACGCGAATCCAAGGCGAGGAGTGCAAGATGGAGGCCATGCGCGCAAGGGATGCTTGACAGAGCCAAGGCCAGGAGGCCGGATCCTGCTGCAGAGCATTAGTCGAGATTTTTCCAGAAATAGCACTGTTTTAAAAAAAAATTCCAAAAATAGCACCCAACTCTGAAAAATTCCAAAAATAGCACCATTTTTGTAAAACCGCAACCCGGAGGTGCGTTTTTCGAAGAAAACGCCACCCGAGGGCGCGTTTTTTGATGAAAACCGCACTGGTAGGGAGCGGTTTTGCAAACCGCACCCCCAGGGTGCGATCTGGCTTTTTTTTTTTTTTTTTTGCAAACCGCACCCCCAGGGTGCGATCTGCCTTTTTTTTTTTTTTTTTTTTTGAAAAATCCTAATTTAGGTGGAAACTTCAAACGAACGTATCTTTATGTTCGGGTATCCGATCGTCGCGATTTTTTTTTTTGATTCCGCATAACTTTTTGAGATCTTGCAAGCCGAAGACTGCCAAAGGTGGTTTGGTCTCGTCTTCGTACCAAAAAATGTCGTTTGCTACCCCGAACGAGCTTTTTCCGATTTCGTCAAACTTTGGACAACCGTAACTTTGTGCTCCAAATCCAAACGGCATGATTTTTTTTATTTCGCATAACTTTTTAAGGACTATAATTTTTACTAGGAATGTATTTTCAAAACAGGAATTATTTTTGGATATACAGGATTTTGGGAATAGCTTATCTTCCCTTCTCAGCAATCCACATACATTTTGAAATTATGTCTATGATAAAAGTTGTATTCCTTAAAAATTTATGTGAAATAAAAAAAAATTTCATGCCGTTTGGATTTTGGAGCACAAAGTTATGGTTGTCCAAAGTTTAACGAAATCAGAAAAAAGTTCGTTCAGGGTAGCAAACGACATTTTTTGGGACGAAGGCGAGACCAAACCACCTTTGGCAGTCTTCGGCTTGCAAGATCTCAAAAAGTTATGCGGAATAAAAAAAAAATCGCGACGATCGGATACCCGAACATAAAGATACGTTCGTTTGAAGTTTCCACCTAAATTAGGATTTTTCAAAAAAAAAAAAAAAAAGGCAGATCGCACCCTGGGGGTGCGGTTTGCAAAAAAAAAAAAGGCAGATCGCACCCTGGGGGTGCGGTTTGCAAAACCGCTCCCTACCAGTGCGGTTTTCATCGAAAAACGCGCCATCGGGTGGCGTTTTCTTCGAAAAACGCACCTCCGGGTTGCGATTTTACAAAAATGGTGCTATTTTTGGAATTTTTCGGAGTTGAGTGCTATTTTTGGAAAAAAAAATTAAACAGTGCTATTTCTGGAAAAATCTCGCATTAGTCAGTACCTAACAATCAGAATGAATGCTGGTAGGGACCGAAACCTGAGCTGCAAGCAGGATAGCATTGAGGAGCCCAACAGCTTCTGCTTGAATCGGGTGAGAACAAAAGAAAATCTCGGCATTGCCATCGTACGCCTGACCCTGAGGACTAGCAATAGTAATCTCGAAAGCCGCCGGGAGAGATTCTGAGACAAAAGAGCAGTCACGGTGAATCACTCGGGATAGAGGCGGTGGTTCATTGTTGAGATAGGATCCCTTAGGTTGAGAAGATTATTGTGTTGACCGGTGAGAAGTAGATGAAACTAAACCGTTTCGAGCTTCTTCAATCTCCGAAAAAAATCACGTCCTCCAACAATTATCGAGGAGGCCGGGGAAGGAGCCTTGTGGTCAAAGATAAAGGTGTTTCGAGAAATCCAGATGTTCCAAAGGCAACAGACAATCTGTCGAATGCAGATTTCACTAAACTCCTCCTTAAGACCAAAAAACCAGTGCGCGAAGGATTTGTCCTGGGCTGGAAGATCAGTCAGTAGGCCCGATAGACTCCACGTATCTGAAGCGTGCCGACAGAAGAAGAGGCAATGCATGATAGACTCAACCTGAGCATCACAAATCGGGCATTTTAGGTTTGGGGCACATCGTCTTGAGTGGAGTCTTTCCCTTGTTGCAATGGCCCGCTTGGAGCATTTCCAAAGGAAGAATCTAAGCTTAGGTGAGAGTGCAAGGGACCAAAACCAAGTCCACTCCAGGTCACCCAATTGGTGAGCATCATTATGAGGAGGAGGGGAAGCTAGAAGGTCCCGCTGCTCGCGGAGGGAATGCTAAGCAGATCGAGCAGTATAAGAACCAGACTTAGTGAACTTCCATGCCCAGCAGTCACTGGAACCTGCAGGTCTGTTATTGTTAGGTTTTTCATGTGATAGAAATTGTAGCAATTTCCTTCGCTTTGGACTATAACAAGATCGCAATCAACTCAATTTAATAATGTCAGCAGTAAAGGAGTAGTTCGCTTGAAATAAGGGTTTGGTTTACTGATATTATCATTAATCTGCAATATGAATATTCTATGTTCGAATCTCAAGTGACACTTGACAATCAAAATAAAACTACGACACCCTCATAATTAAAAATAATAATTTTGATGGGAGGTCGATCGAACAAAGTTAATTGAATAAAGAATATGAGACCAATATTCACTCACACTAACGTTGGTCAAAAATATGTTGAACTCTTTAATTGATCAACCGTTCGTCTATAAAAAGTTGTCTATCATTCCTCCGAGAATCTATTTATCTATCTATAAATACACACTTTCTCCATTTGAACTTTGTTCAAATTTTGATGCATCCATGTCATCATCTTTTATATCCAGTAAGATTTTTTCTTCCCATTTATTTTGATATCTCTTATCTTTTTTTCAGTTCATCTACTATTCTTAATGTGATCATATATATTTCTTTTCATTTCCAAATTCAAATACTTTTGTGCAAAAAAAGTAAAATTTTATGTGGAATGCACAATGATGTTCATTTTTATATATGTTGAAATAAAAAATTAGAAAGACATGAACATAAACATATATTTACGTGTTATTCTCTTTAAAAAGACATGAACATGATCGTGTATTTACGAGTTATATTCAAAGAATAACTATATTATATAAATGTGGTGAATTCTATATCACAAAAATACAGGACCTTTTCATGTATCATCATAATTTACATAGGTACATTCCTATCTATATCGTAATACTGACATTTTCATTTGTATACATAACTATTATATATGTATAGTTTTTTTTAATAATGATTATATGAATAGGTTATTCTATAGAAAAAGTTCCTTGAACGGATTTTAGGGCTAAATTACACGTTTGGTTACTCAAATTATACAAATGTTTTACATTTGCCACTCGAATTACTTTTCTTTCTTATTCGCCACTAATTTTGTGAATCGTTTCACCGTTAGTCACTGGCCGTTACACTCCGTTAAATTTTTCCTACGTGGCAGTCAACTATAAAGTTTGACCGTTAATTAGATGACGTGGAAATTAAATAAAAAATAATTTTTCCACCTCATCATTACACTTACTTTGTTTGCATGAGTTATCATATTAATCATTAATAAAAATTAATTAAAATAAAAAAATTAATGAACAACCGCCAACCTCCATGTCGTCTTCCTCGCTTTTGTGGCTCAAGGCCACATGATCCGATGACAGACATGGGGAGGTTGACGCTCAATTGGGTCTTCAAATCCAAACCCACATCATCCAGTTCCCCTGTGCCGAGGCAGGGCTGCCGGAAGGTTGCGAGAACGTCAACATCATTTCAGAGTGTGATTTGGGGAAAAAGAAAACGGTAAGGGGATTTGTGTGGGTAAATGTTTTATGGGCTTTAGAATTTCGGTGTAGAAACGGCAGAGAGCAGGCAGATCAAGATCAGTAGCGGTCGTCGAATGGGTTATGTCGTGGATGATTCAGATCCGCCTCCGTTGGCGCTTCTTTCACCAAACGGAGTCTCCACCTCAGGTCTCTCGATGATGGGAATTGATTGTGAGAGGAAGGATTGGGCCGCACCGGCGAATGTAAACGGCACAAATGCGTAGTGCTTATGAAAGTGAATGAAGTGATATGAAAGCCCCTTCCTATCTTCAGCTCACTGGGGATTTTGGTTGTCTGGGTGAGATGATAAGAGTTTCCCAGCGATGATAATGGGTTAGGCAAATGCAGATTTTGGGGTTTTGGATTTGGGGAAGGAAATGAAAGAAGAAAAAATTGACGAACAAATGGTGCTGAGATTTTGGGAAGAAAAGATCTTCAAGCTCTCATCTCTGAGTCGCGAAACTCGGCGATCCTGGACGCCATCGAAACGGCGGCGAGGCGGAACCCTGAGACGTTGATCATCAACAAGTTCTCCAAACGAGCTTACAACAGAATCCGATACACTCTCGTCTCCTACGTCGTGGCGTTGAACAACACCAGAATCGCCAGTTACAGTCCCCTGCGGCAGACGGTGGTGGCGATTTCGGAGGCGGCCAACGTGGCGATATATCAATTTTTTCAATTTATTAATTTTTATTAAATGATTAATATGTGGAATGATGAGGTGGATTTTTTTTTAATTTTTTTAAATTTCCACGTCATCTAGTTAACGGTCAAAATTTATAGTTGACTGCCACGTAGGACAAATTTAACGGAGTGTAACGGCCAGTGACTAACGGTGAAACGATTCGCAAAGTTAGTGGCGAATAAGAAAGAAAAGTAATTCGGGTGGCAAACGTGAAACATTTGTATAATTTGAGTGACCAAACGTGTAATTTAATCCGGATTTTAGTATAAAAAAGGGCATTGCTATTCGTCGCCCTAATTTTTATTGAAATGACTCAAATATCCTTAGCTTAATTATTGTACAATGTACATCAAACCCGCCGACCGTCGCTGGAAGCACCAGAAGGGTTAAAAACCCGTCTCCGGCGAGTTGGGACAGGTCGGAACCTCGTACCTCTTCAAACTACCATCACCAGTGGGTCATTCCGACGACGAGCCTGTGGCGGTATCGGAGAAAGGCGCTCCATCTCTGCTCAAGATGTTCGGAAGGAGCGCACCTAGCTGCGAACGACGGCACACTCTGTCTCTGTTCCCGATGTCATATGCGATTGATTTAGATTCTACCAGACCGGCGCATCTCAGCTTGTCGGGATTCCAATTAGAAAGGGTTTCGATCTGGGTTTTTAGGGTTTCAATGTCTAGAAGGGTTTTATTCGTGTTGTGGTTGTGGTTGTTATTTTGATTTCTGGGTTTCAGGATTCATCCCTTCTGTTCCCAGTTCAATTTGTGCAGAGTGGCAATTCATCTTCTCGAAGTCATCATATATAGTGAGGTCAAGATTTCTAAGCTTCTTCTTCGTCTTCTTCCTCCGGCAATAAAAGTAAATCACCAGCGACGCTCAAGTTGAGGTGGGCATATGCCGGATAAAAGAATCCACAGTGATAGCACCGTCCGTGTTGAGGTCGGCGGCGGCTGGGCAGGGTAACGTAAGGAATTTTTTGTTTAGTGTTTTGGTTTGAAATTGGAGTTAGAGGGCAAGATCGTCAATTTGGTGTATTTTAGGGCGATAAAATTTGAATTTTAGGGCGACGAATAGCGATCCAGATAAAAAAAGTTCATCTTCCGCACACGGGCTAGCTTCCTTTTTAATTCATTTTTTTCTCACTTCCTCTACATTTTACGTTACCCTTTTCTTCTCTCCCGCCATGGAAGAAGCACCCAGCAGCAAGCCCGCCACCACGAGCAACAAATCCCACAAGCACAACAATGGCAACAACAACGGCAACCAAACGGGCGTGGTGATTGGAGGGTTTTTGGAGACGACCAAATCCGACAGGTCGGTGTGGCTCATGAAATGCCCTTCTCTCGTCTCTCGCTCCCTCCGCTCGCCCTTCCCTGATGATCCTTCACGCCCCGTCGCCAAAGTCGTCGTCTCCGTCGACCCTCTCAACTCCAACGACGACGAATCTTCTACCCAGGTTCATACGTTCCCCCCTCCCTCGCTTTTCACGCATTCGTTCGCCGCTATCTGTTGAGTGATTTTGTCACCTGTACTGCAAACCCTTGGAATTTTCTCATGTTCTTCTGGTTTAGCTGTATGATTTCTAGGGATTGGACATATGGTGAATGCAATTCCTTTTAGTGTAATTGGGTACCAATGTGACGCAGTTGACTCTGAAATTTTGCCCCAATTTTGGGTTTGAGCATTCCCTGCATGCATCCCATGGTAACAACACTTATGAAACCTATGTTTGTTTTCGTGAAATGCTGTTCAGTTCACCATGGAACTGGCTGCCACGGAATCGGGAGATGCACCGAAATCATACACTTTGGATATGTCCAAGGACTTTGTTCCAATGTCTGTATTTGCTGAGTCGCCTCAAGGTTAGTGTTCTTGTCTTTGCACACTCCTGGTTGGTTTGAAGTTTAATAAGTGTTTGGAGAGAATGATGATTGATTCTATGGATGGTTAGGGTGATTGGGTGTGTGTGCCCCGTTTTGTCGCAGTCTGACATTGTTTTGTTTGTTGAGATTGCTTTACTCTTCTAGAAGTATGACCTTGGTCTTGATGTGTTCTAACTTCTAATAGTTCACATGGTGAATGGCCTATATTGCGTGCAGGTCTTTCAGGTAGTAGGAAATTGTTTGTTGATTTTGTGTATTTGTTTGCCTACCACAATTGGGTTCATATTCTTGCTTTGAGAAAATATTAACAAATAGAATCTACCAAGTCAACACTGACTTCCGCACTATTACTTCCTATTAGTATAGTGGTAGGTTTGTTCTATTATAAGGTTTCTGGAGATAATTCATCATATTACACTTTGGGAGGGAAATATGATAACCAACGAACCACTGACATTATAAGCGTGCGAGAACTTAGATACAAGTGCATCAGCATGTCATCAGTCTACCGTTTCACATCCTCCGGTTATCAACAGTAGGCGTTGTGCATCTGCAGAATTTTGTACGAACACTTTGTTGCTAGATGGTTGTGAACTTTAAGGACAGTTAAACTTGAATTCTTCAAACTCTTTACTGTATCATGTGTACTGTTTCTCAGGAAAGGTCTTTGTGGAGGGGAAAATACTGAACAAATTTGACGTGAAGCCGCATACTGAGAGTCTTGAAAAATATGGGAAACTTTGTCGTGAGAGGACAAAGAAGTATATGACCAGGAATAGGCAAATCCAGGTCATCTTTCTACATGGAAGCTTCGTTTTGCTACCAAATAACGTTCTCTCTTTTGCTTTGAAACTTTCTTTGATTTTCATTTCAGGTCATTGATAATGACAAAGGAACTCACATGAGGCCTATGCCCGGGATGATGACAACCTCTTTTACTGTACATGTATCTAACTTCTCTTTTTGCGCTTGACATTTGTAAATAAGATTGTGTTTCAATGGTGTTGTCTGACCTGAGGGCATTCTCTAGCTTTTCCAGTTTTGCACATGGGAGACTGGATAAGAAAAACTTGTCTTTTTATTTTGTGATAGGAAAAGAAGAAGCCGCCAGCCAAAGCATCTGAAACTAAAAGGACAAGAAGGGACCGTGGAGAGATGGAAGATATTATGTTCAAGCTATTTGAGAGGCAACCAAATTGGACTTTGAGACAACTTATTCAAGAAACTGATCAGCCTGAGGTATGTTTTACCTTTTGCTTCCTTTTCCCTTTGGTTCATGCCACACTCTCCATGGATTGAATGATCCTGGTGCCCTTCTCTTCACGTACAGAACACTTGTAAGATTGAGTAAACTGCAATAGACCACCACGGCATTGGTGTTAAATGTGTCTTTCCTGGTCTTCTGATGATACACCCCTGTGGAATCAACCAAAGTTTGTGTTCTTGGTTTCTCGGTTTTCAATCTCTCCTTCTCTTTCTTGCAGCTATTTCTGAAGGACATACTGAAGGAGCTCTGCGTATACAACAATAAGGGAAGCAATCAAGGATCATATGAGCTGAAGCCAGAATACAAGAAATCAAGTGAGCCAGATCCAGCTACTTGAAGGAAAAAACTCTCAAGTGCCGAGAATGGGAATTTCATAATAACACCGATTCCCAGTGCTTCCATTAGCTGCAGGTTAACTTATTCTTGGATGGGTTAGTTCATGTAAAGGCTCCAGTGCCAGGTTAGGACGTAGTAGGGCCTTGAATGGGACCTAACCTGGGGCGTCTTTTCCGCTAATTATTTGTTGCTGCATCAACATGAATTTAGAAATAGAGTAGGTTTAACCAGGTAAGTGATCGGTTGAAGTCCGATTCCTAATGGACGGAGGGCCAATTTGTGTCCCCAGTGATTACATTGAACTGTCATCGATAGAACTGTAAATAATAATTCATGAAAGAGCAGGTTGCATCTTCCTTTCTTTCTTCCTCCTTATTCCACTTATGTACAGAGTTGTATCATGCGAGTCTGTTACCATACCTTCAGAAACATTGTTGCTTGGATCTGTTGTCCGTGATTTAGCAGCCTCGGAAAATGGCAGGCCATTTAAATCTTTCTATACATGAATCCTATATGGCCACTTTCAACTCGTGGGGATCAACAACGGACCGACTGGTTCTTTGAGAGGAATTTGTGAACTGTGACAGGTGATGTTTGTGAGTAAGTAATTATGTTCTTGGATGCCATTGACATGGTATACAGTTCTTCCAGGGAAACAAAACTATAATAGTGCTGTGCAGTTACTTTGATTGATATGCTGTGAGGCACTCAGCAAATGGAGGGTTTTAATTAGTTGTACCAAACTTTAGCATTTGAGTGCAGCAGATATGCTGTTGTCTGTGTGGTGTGGATAGCAGCAGCATATGAGTGCAGCAGGATTTGGTAGGTGGGCTTGATTGCTACAATCACCTCGTGTTTTTATTTTCATTTGGCAAATCAAATAAATGGCAAGTAAAGGTCTCGACATCTTCGAATGCTTCCAGAAGCGGGCCATGCTGCTGAAAACGAATGCTCCACGTGAAAAAAAAATGGTTGCTCCGAATTTGTTAATAACGAAATCATGGCTTTGCTTAGATAATGATTTGAGTGTGTGGTAAATGAGATAGACGTTGATACGTGTTTATATCTAATCTTCTTTTTTAATATATCTATAACGTATTCGAGATTATCTCGTTCGTGCGAAGCATTCGAAGAGTAAGTGAGCAACAAAACCAGTTGAAATGAGAATATACCTAACCCATTTATATTGGATGGCCATTGACCAACTTTGAAGGGTTGTATGGCTTAGGTCCCTGTGGTTGCTATATGCCCCATTTTTTCTTGAAACAACTTTTAGGTTATTGGGTTGTTTACTGTAGTTTTGACCAAGTTGTAGTAGTACTCAATTCCCTTCCAATTCAACCCCCTCTCTACTATCAATACAAGGAATTAGAGTGCAAAACATGGTGATACTTCTCGTTAACCAATTAGTTCCAATAATCGAGTTGTAATGACGATATCGATAATTGAGTCGAGTGCAAGGTTGTCAACCCCCGAGTCGACCCGCTTTGATCCTGGCCCGGTGGGAAAAATGGGCCACACGCACCCGTCAGGTCGACCGCTACAAGGTACCGGGTTGGAGGTCAAATTGTGTCATTTTTTTTCTTTGGTTTGCGAAATGCGTCTATTTTCCGATTTTTCTTTTTGCCTAACTCAATCTTTGGAATTCTAAGTTGAACATTTGAATATTTATGTTATATAAGTGTGTGTGAATTTTCACTATATGTGTGATCTAAGTACGACATGCTATTTTGGTGTAATATTATATGTTATAACTCATATGTTAGATGAAATTTCATATAATTTATCAGATAAGTACAATATAATGACTCTTTCCATATTTCCGGACTAAACCAGGCTAAACCGGGTGACCCATTAACCCTTGACCCACTAGCTCGACCGGGTCCAGGTCAGCCTGCAGGTTGACAACCTTGGTCGAGTGTTAAAGTAATAGGAGGTTCTGAGGTTCATATATATGGGTTTTCTTGTCAAAGATATTCCCATATATATGCTTACTCGGCTATGAGTAAGAAGAGAATATGTTATCGAAAATCAGCTATATTGTGAAAACGGGAATGTATGGCCGTTAAAATTCGATCGCAAACTATAATTCTAAAAAGAATTTTTTATGTTGTTTTAAAAGATAAAATAATAAATCCTTTTTTAAATGAGATTAAAACAATAAATTCCAAATGCATTGGAAACGAAGGAAATTTATAATCTGGAGAAAAGATTAAAAATAGCAGGCAAGGTCCATGAAATAAAAGGGCACAAAGACGAGTAGGATTAGGTTAGGATGGGCCAATGGAGTAGCGTTAAAAAAATAAACAAATAATTAAAGGAAAAAAAGAGCATTTATCATTGGCACTTTCTCCCTCGTTGCCATCGCTGACCAAACCCAAAACCATATTAACAGATACGACCATTTTGCCCCAATTCCCAATTCCAAAGGATTTGGACCGAACGCAGTTCCTCCCCGCTAGACGAAGAAGAGTCACCAGGCGTGTGGTAAGCACGGCAGCTGTTTCTTCTTCCCTTCCTCTAAGTCCGACCTCTGTTCTCTCTTTTAACCAGATCGATACATTTGGGAGAGAGGAGGAATCTAGCGCTTCTTTGTTTTCACATCTCTACCACCTAATCCCTCTTTTCATATTCCTTGCTTCGTCTCCTCTTTTTCATCGCCACATTCCTCTCTCTCTCTCTCTGTCCCTCGCCGGTCCAAATTCCTGCTCCCCTTATTCCGGGTTTCATTCAATTGTAAGGTATGTATTCATCGACTTGTGCTGTCAGTTTCGCACCCGCTACCGACTTGATTGCTTCCCCTCTTGTAATTATAAGAAATGGGTTTTCTGCAACTTTCGTTTCTGAGATCCCTGGCTTGTTCTTGGTTTCTGGGTTTTGCTGGGTTTTAATTATCTGTATAGCTTTGAGGGATTCTGTATGTCCGTCTACTGGCTAAGGGTATTGACCAATTGAGCTTAATTGATTCACTTCTTGGGTAAAGTTCAGAAATTCGCTTTCTTTCGGAAATGATCTGATAAACCAGAAATGGATGGTTTAAGGCTGCCCATTTATCAATAACTTCACAAGTTGATTCCACTTATTTGCTAGGATAGAACTTTTTCTGTGATTTAAGCTTGGCTCTTTCTGTTATTCTCAGCAACTGTGTTGTCGCCTGTCTTTTGCAGCAATTGCCTTATCTATTTTGGAATTTCTCTTTATAGATTCTAAGAGTTGTGTTGTGATCTGGTCAAGGTTCACTGTGCTTGTAATTTGAATTCCAGTCTATGACTTATGGTTACATCTTGTATCTTGTTGTGGCAGTTTAAGCATCAGTAGTTCTCATACGGATCTTCTATCCTTGTATGCAAAAAATTGGGCAAAGTTTTCAGCTTGGGAAAAATTAGTTGCAGGCTTTGCTTCTTGTGTTCATTAGCCTGTTGTGCACCTTAAGTTTGATGCTTAAAGAATTTTCTACTTGCGGTGTCATGGTTGATGTTAAATACTCACAACCCTGTTGAAGGCATATATAGTAAAAGCTTTTCCACTTTTATGCAGGTAGCTTTCCGGCAGTAAGATGGACTTCTTATTCAGAGGCTTAAACGAGGACCCTTCCCCGGTGGATATGCTTAGGTGTCCATTTTTGAGAAATATCAATGAGCCAACTAATTTTTCCTTCTCCTCAGCCATGCCCTTTCCTATGCCTGTAAGTTGTCTATTGCCAATGCCTATAATTTCTCCTGTCTTTCTTTGGTCACTGATTGACATGAGGATCTTCTTCAAAGTTGCAATCTTTAACTCTTTACCTGACTCCTTTTCCAGGTGCGCTCTGGCAAAGGTCCTATTTTTGAAGATGGCCCTAATTTTGATTCGACATTCAGACTATTCCATGGACAAGATGGAGTAGTCCCACTGTCCGAAAGATCATTCCCAGTTTCAGACAGAATTGAGACCCCCCTGCAAACCCGTCCTGAGTTTAACCCATTAGCTGCAAAGGCAGCCACGATCAGTCTCTCATCTTTTGGCCCTGGTGGACCCTTTAGCTTCGATGCCTTCTCTAAGAAGTGGAACAACAGTCAGAGCAAGAAAAACTCCAAATCATCCAAAAAAGGCTCACAGGTATATGCATCTCAAGTGGTTTTTCTTTTTGCATCATCCACTTGTGATAGGAATGAACGCATCGTGAAATCTCCAATTGACACCTCTTTGTGATCATTTATTTTCAGGGAGGAAACTCAGAGCATGAGTCAATGAGCAACGAATGGCTGCAAAATGGGAACTGCCCGATAGCAAAGTCATATCGAGCAGTCGGCAACGTGTTGCCACTTGTTGCCAAAGCATTTCAGCCACCACCTGGGGTTAAAATCAGGTGCCCGCCTGCAATTGTTGCTGCTAGAGCAGCTATAGCACGTACCGCCTTTGCCAAGAATCTTAGGCCGCAACCTTTGTCCTCAAAAGTACTGGTGATTGGGATGCTAGGCATGGCTGCAAATGTCCCCCTGGGAGTATGGAGGGAACACACTAAGAAATTCTCCCTCTCATGGTTCACAGCCGTCCATGCTGCAGTTCCCTTCCTAGGCATGCTCAGGAAATCCGTGCTGATGCCCAAATCAGCCATGGCGTTCACCATCGCAGCGTCGATATTAGGCCAAGTGATTGGTTCCAGGGCAGAACGATACCGCCTGAAGGCAAAGGCCAAAGCTGGGGAGGAGATCACTTTAGTCGAAACTCGTGTGCATCACTCTCCATCACCCATACACCAACAACCCATTGCTGTGAAAACCGGGCACGGTGGCAATCTGATGGAGTATCCAGTCGCTATCCATGGAGCTGGGACTCCTTCTCCAACTGCCAACGTTCTCTGCTAAACTCATCACCACTATCTCAGTGCTTGTTGTTGTTAAGACTTCATCATCTTTATCCACTTGTAATTGCAGCAGAAATGCTATTTGGTTCGTTCGATTTGTGTATTTAATGACTGGCTGTCATCTTGGTTGTGAAAGACATGATATTGGCGGAGTTTGAGCAAAATGAATAATAATTTATTGGGTTTGTGTTATCTTCAAGATAAATGGTGCTGCAGCTGCCCTCTTTCCTTTGATGAAATGAAGCTTGCCTGCTGCCAGAGTAGTTGAACTGTCAAATGCTCAAATGTTAGGTAGCAACCAACTTTGCTGAAATTGTCAACTTAAACGTGCCTTTCGTGGAATGATAATATAATAACACTACGACTCGCTTTTGATTTGGAAATATTGTTAGTGGAAACCCACTCTGTTCCAATATTGAGACTTTGCTATCTATATAGGCTGCTTGCCAAGTTGGACTTCTTCCCTGGATTCTGTCTCGTTTTCGTTTCCAACTCGGTTAGTCTCAATTCTCCAAATTGGATATGGTCACCCCGGTTAGACCGTTATGTTTCCTCACCGCGGACCGAACCGAAAACGCTGTTTCAGCGTAAAAGATGAGTCTTTTTACTGTGTTATTCGAGGACGGTAAAAAAACTCTGTCGTTTAACTTGAAATAAGAATTATCCCTCCGTCTTCCGTGGCCTGCGAGCGACTAAAGGCAAAAACGAAAACAGAACACTCTTTTACAGTGGCCGTCCTTCCCTGCCGGCGGTTCACCGTTCCGATGCCTCGGACGTTCGGGATCCCTTGGCCGGAACTTAACGACGGCCTGTTCTACAACGACGTCGTTCCTTCCAACCATTCAGGTCCATCTCTCTCTCGCCCACTTGTCTCGAGGAATTTAACTGTTCATGTTCTCCTTCTTTGATTGATTGGGGAAATAAACTGATTTGGGGAATTTGCAGGATCGACTCTCATAGACTTCTACTCTACCAAGTACAAGAATTCGGCTCCACTGAAAGGGTAAATGCCCACTTCCCTAAATAATTTCCAAGTTCCCTTTTTTTTCTTCTTTCCGAAACGACCTCTTATAGCTAATAACTTCACAGTTGGTTGCAGAGAATTCACAATGGACAGGTGGGTTCCCTCTCATGCCATTAAAGTTTGTGTCTTTAGCAAGTGATGCGAAAAGGGACTTCACCGGGAGAATGAGTGAATTGACATTGCTGTTCTGTGTGTGTATTATTTGCAGATAAAAGTTGATGGAGTTGTTGTTAAAGAACCCAACACTGTCCTCAGGTGTTTTCTTGTTGTCCATAACAACTTAAGGATGGATTTTATGTGCACTAGATTTACTTGTCTTGATGTTTTGTTGACTGAGGAAAGCTCGTGTCTTTTTCTTTTCAGGGACGGTTCTGAGTTGATCTATCACAGGCTTCCATGGAGAGAGCCGGATGCACCTTGGTCTTTGGAAGTACTATATGAAGATGATGATGATATGGTAACTACGATCTGCGAATGCTTGAATGATAGGTTAATATGTAATGGTTGGTTTAGCTTACAGAGTTTGGGAGTGAATGCTGGTTGCTAATGTTATCCTCAGGTTGCTTTAAACAAGCCTTCTGGCTTGCAAGTCTTGCCGGGTGGACTGTTTCAGCAACGCACCGTTCTAACTCAACTCCAATGGTTGGCAAGCAACCAAAGCTCTTCTGCTACAGCTAGCCAGGGATCGCATCCTGTTCCTGTGCACCGCCTGGGGAGAGGCACCTCTGGTAAAGTCTGATACCAATCCCTACTCAATTCAATTTCGGGTACTTGTAACTTGTTGATGAAGCCTATCACTCCATGCTCAGTTGCTTTTTTCTTGCTTCAGCTAGAGCATGAATTGTTGGCTTATCCGTCTTCCTCCTGACTCCTGAGCTATGTTTAGGCTTACAAACTGCTTCTTCTCACTTCTAGGAATATTGCTCTGTGCGAAGTCCAAGCGTGCGAAAATTCAACTTGCTGCATATTTCGCAGAAGGGACATCTCTCATTGGTGGCAACAGGTTGGTCAGGAACTTCTCTTTTGAACTTTATGGCCCTTGATCACTCGAGTTAAGATTAGGCCTCATGAAGCAAGGAATAAGTTACAATTTGAAGTTACAACTGGTGGGGATTTTATGAGTTCATTTAAGAATCTGATGGAAAGTTTTGTTAGAGAATGTCATGGAGTTAGTGTTCTGTTTTTGAACTGCTAGGAAGAGTATGGAGGCCATAGTGTTGAGATTATCTAACACAACAACCTCGAATGTCTGCTTCTTCTTATCCATGGTCACACCAGCTTAGAGCCTGTCAAAGGAAGGAAAATCTCGAAGATATACAGAGCCCTAGTTGATGGAATACTAAGAGAGGATACGGTAAGAAATCAAGTCAGATGAGTGCATTTATTTGATGTAGTTTCTTCAGTACGAGCAATATAAAAGATCTCCATTTTCACTAGTTTCACGTTTCAGATTCATTTCTAGTTTGGGTGTCATTATTCTAGGTTGTGATCAGGCAACCAATTGGGACTGTGCGTTATCCTGGTGTGGCTAAAGGGCTCTACGTTGCTTCAGCCTCAGGTTATTATAATCACCGGTCATATCAGTGTCTCTTTACTCTCAGACCCTGGGTTTTCCACTGCTGGCTCTGACTGTGCTACTCTTGGTAAAACTAGGAAAACCTGCATTGAGCCAAGTTCGGGTGCTTGAGAGAGATTTACCAAGAAACTGCACATTAGTCGAGGTATGCTGTTCTCTTGGTTCATCTTCTGCGATCTGTTGCTTCTTGTCCTTTTCCAATGTAGTAGTCACATAATGAAACACGGTTCGGCACTAAATCTGGGCATGGGTAGGAGAGGAAATAAAAATTACCAAAAGATCAATTTGTCATGTGATGCTCCTTGACAATTTTTAAGTCATTCACAGGTGAAGATCGAGTCAGGACGGCCACATCAAATCCGCATTCACCTTTCATTCATAGGGCATCCTTTAGTTGGTAAAAGATTGGAACGTTGATTTAAATTGCTGAAGCGGTTGCATTTCGTTCCCCTGATACTGAATGATAGCACAATTCTGAATGCGTTTTAAATGGATTCTTCGATAAGGTGATCCACTATATGTTGCTGGAGGGAAGCCGAGATGTCTTGATTCTGAAATAGTAGATGCGAGTTTCGCGCCAGACGGGTACAAGAGTCTGAACCACTATTCTAGCTCACCTATTTTCATTTGATCATCCAAGTTGTTGTGCTGAAAGCTGTTATTGTAGGGGTTACGAAAAACCTAACAAGCCAGTGCCTGGAGACTGCGGATACTACTTGCATGCACATCAACTGACTATTACACACCCATCCACTTGTGAGGTAAGAAATGTTGAGCAATCTTCTTATGTTGAGGAACATTCTTCGAGAGTTCCATTTCAGCTGTTTAAAAAAACTCAAAATCGAGAATGTATGCTTTGAATTTTCCCAGGAGATACACATCACAGCTCCTCTTCCACCCATTCTACGAACACAAGCAGAGTCCCAAGTCGCAGAAGCATAATATCTCTATCTAGTCTCATGTCTGCAGATTTTGTTCAGTCATAATGAATTCCTAGCTGTGCAAGCTGCTCTGTTCTGGTTTCAGGTAGATAATACTTTGAGCGTATGTGTAGAAGTAGAACTGAAAATATGTACCAAAAGGAGGTAGTTACTTCCACCAGAGAAGAATTCTGCAGTCACATGATCAAAACGTTAACATTCTAATGAAATTAGGAGTAGAAAGTCAGAACTGTTGAGAGACAGAAGGAAAGCTAAACGATGGAAGGGGGCAGGTGCTATCAGTGATTCAATCCCAACCTCTTTTTTTGGGCACATTATTTTCTGTATTCTTCATCAAATACAACAAATACAAAAGGGTTGGCCTGAAAATGTTACAAACGCTCCTTCCCTACTTAAATTACTCTATTTTTTAACCTTTTTCCTGACGGATTAGAGAAACCATCCGTCCCCTCAGTCCCCTATCACTGCATTAATTAAACAATTACAAAAACTATGATACAGGGCGCGGCAACCAAAACACTTTCATTTGCCACTAGGCTCTTCCCTTTTAGGAGCTGGCTGGCAGGCCGACCTCTTCTTCACTATCTCAGCACATCCCCCTTGCCTCTCCAACTACTACTAGTAGAATCATCCTGCCTCTTCACATTTATCGTCCCTCCATTTGAGGAACCACCAAATTGATGATCAGCCTTGGCTAAGTGCATCTTAATGGCCGTCACAGGATCTGACACAGCCTGACGAATAACACTACTGCTTCCACCTCTAACTGCTGCAATGCTACTCATTCCCATTCCTACTGCTGCCGCTGCCGCCGCCATTCCATGCTGCTGTAGACTCGAAATTGAATCGAACACAAATGGTGGCTGCAGTTTGTTGGTAGCATCATGATGACTCATGTACCTCTGGAAATCCAGCAGTGCGTTACTGCTTACATCCTTTTGAGGGAAACCAGGTAAGCCATTCATACTTCGTTGTTCACTGTTCTTAGCTACGACAGCATGCAATGCTGCTGCAGGATCAATCTTCGGTGATGAGGAAACCCCTGGGTAATTGCTAAATGCAGCAGGATACTTGGCCAGCAAGATTGCAGAATCAGGCAACGATGTCAGCCCAGTCTGTATTCTGCTCCCATCCCAAAAACCATAACTCCTCATTGGAACACTATTCTCCATCAACCCTCCTGCACCACATTTGTTCTGATCAAAATTCAGCAAACTCGCCAGATTCCCTGCATCTGATGAACTGGGATTTGGATGGCCAGTAAATTTAAAGGTAGATGAGCTGCTGCAGCTGCTGCTTGTCTTCACAGGGAGGGTGCTGCCATTTTCATCATGCCCATGTGCTTCAGGAGGATGGTCTGGCTTCTTCTGTGAAGATGACAAAGTAGTGCTTAGTATTTTACCGAAGAGTTTAACATCACCATTCCTGCATGGCTTCTCCACTTCTGACGAGTTTTGAGGCTGCTCACTTGCTCGTTCAGAATGTTGGCTGGAGTTCTGAAGGTAGCAGGCCTCGGCCAACTGACTGGATATAATAATCTCTTCAGATTTTTTCAAGACTGCACCATTAGAAATAGTAGGTCTGCAGGAAGTAACATCATTCAACTGCTTCGCGGGAATTTCAGCTGCGGAACCACTATTAAGTTGAGCAGATCCCCAATGATTCAGCACAGGGTGGCCAAGCAAAGGCTGCACATGGCCATTTCCACAGATAGACCTCCCATCCTGTTTATCACTATTCTCATGAAGATCAACACTGCCAGCTTGCTTTCCACAGAAAGTCCTGTTACCCGAGTCATGCACTTTGCCATACTGTGTTAGTGCAACAGAGTCTGCACTAGACACGTTACTAGCTTCCAATGGGAAAGACATGACAGCCAGACTGGTCTCCACAGAACTCACTTCAGCTTGCTTTTGATTCATAATTTCAGTAACAGGACTTTCATTTGAGGAAGAGCCCATATCCAATGGAGGAGGGTGCGAGACTTCTTTGGTTACATTCAAATCTTGTATAAGACTGTTCTCAGATTTCCTGACAGGGACTTCTTTCCCAGCTTCAATTTCAGATACACAAACCAGGTTGGATGATGGACCAGAATTGGCTGCATCTCCAGTAAAGCAAGATTCTGAAAAGCCCTCTTTAACTACACACTCTCGTTCACCTTCTGTAACAACAGACTCCACTGAAACTTTCTGACCACTCATGAAAAGAGAATTATGATGAACAAACCCATTAATGACTTCACCATCAACTAGATGAGTTGACTGAAGCAAGTAATCTTTCGTGCCATTAGAAACCATAGCAGTATCCACAACCATTAAATGCTCATCTTCCATAGCTTCTTCTCCAACATCTTTATCCCCCGATAAATTCAAATCATTTTCATGATTAACTCTAGCCTCACCATCACAAACATCGTCCTTCAGCTTCTCCCCAATAGCGCACATAACTGGAGGCAGGTCCAGGTCCACCTTAGAAGGAAATTCTTCTGAACCATTCTCGATAGCACAAGCATCTTCAATGTCGCTCCCACCTCCATTTGCATCCTCACTCAAAGATGGGCCAACTGTCACTCTTCCAGAATGAATCTGATCCAGCCCAAGACACTTTTTTGTTTTGCTAAAGAACACCTTGCACTGAGCCTCAGACCTTGTCCGGACACCACGCGAGATACTTGCAAAATCCTTGCCATACAAAGAAACTGCCTGAACAAAAGCTGCTTTCTCCTCATCTGTCCAATCAGCAGTAGCATTCATTTCCCCACAGCTATCATCAGAACAAGTTTCCTCCTCATCTGCACTGTGGGTTACATCAGTTAAAGAAGGACGTATATTCCTATTCCCACTCCCTCTCTTTCGGGCATTACGTTCATGGAATCCCTCACCACGATCTGCAGAAGTAGTAATGCAAGAGCTCATCGAACCACTAATACCAGCAAGCACATCAGCAGCAGCAGCTGTTTCTCTTTCATTGACCACGGCATCATAATTGTTTGACCTTTCTGATGAAATACTGTCTCCATCTCTCAATATTTTGCAATTATTACTATTATAGCCTCTGATTAAAATTTTAGTAGAATGCTTCTTTCTGCTAACCATGCCCCTGTCAGAATCAGTCATAACTGATGCAGTACCCAAAACATCCAGTGGAGCTGCTGCGGTCATCTCACGATTCCACTTCTGACTTGATGACGACATCAAGTAGTTCGTCAATGACTTGGATTGCTTATTCTTCTTGATTTTTCTAAATGAATCAGACTTGTGATTTTTGTAATAAAATTCAACACAGTCTGCAGTCGTCTTGTGTTCAAGAAACGAAGCAATCTTCGTGAAATCCTTACCACAAGAAGCCAGCTTATCAATAAAGACTTCACGCTCCTCCTGAGTCCAGGGATTAATCATAGCTCTTTCCCTCTCAACTGCACAGGGATCTTCAACTAATCCATTGCCAGAAATAAACCTTGACGCTATTTTTTCCTTGTCATCCAAAATCTGTGCTGGCATTTTCAAGTTATCCCTGTAAGCTTTGACATTGCAATCTGCAAGCAGCTTGCTAATGAATTTCAATGTCTCTGGAGTAGGAACCAGTCTCGTATTGCCTGCAGTAGAGCAAAATAATAAAAAAGTAAGTGAATGAGAAGTAAAACAAACAGCTCATTTGAGAAATTGCAAAAGTATAGCACATTGTAACCACTTAAAAGAAGACACAGATAACCACATGGAGCTCCTACTATTTTAGAAGATAATACTGGTTGCTCAAACGATAAGACTAGAACAAGAAAGACATCACTTATGACAGAAAAAATAAATTATCCCCAGTTCACACCAACAAAAAGCTTGCTCTGGTAAATATGCCAGTTTAAGGCATTTGTGCTGACTGCACATATCCAGTTGAATGCAGTAGATTTCCATACAGCTCAACATTGAGCTCATACAACTCAAAGGAATCCCTAAGATTCAGTAAAATTCACCATTTGATTATGTTGCCTGTGCATCATACCCAACTGATATTCCTAATTTCCAAGACACAAATCAGAGCCAAAACCACCTAGAGATCTAACAAGCATATCGAAACACACTTATAGTCTCTGCATCTGAGTCGATGACCACTTTCCAGACACTAAATCAAGTCCTTCATTCCAAAAGGGAGAGAACACAAAAGTGTTTGGGCTTTGTTAAAATTAAGCATGACAGCCCAAATCTTACAACGAAGGAAATCTCCAACCTGGAGTATAGAGACCCACCACAAATAACCAAGACTCCAGCCTCACAACCATGAGACATTCTTAATTTACAACCTTTGCCAAATAGGTTATAAGAGTTTTTCCCCTCTGGCACGTGTCCAAATTGAGCCAATAGGACTAGACACCATGGTAATATAAAAAAATGTCCGATGAATGTTCAGCTTACATTAGGGAACATGTCCCTTACACGTAAATTCAAAGAACTAACACTTTGCAGCAAAGAGAGGACTCTCAAGGCAAGTACAACAAATTATTTGGACTACAACCTTCTAGGACAGTAGTACTTAGAGACGAGGAAAGCACATCTCTAGGTACCAAGCACACAGCCCAAATGTCCATATAGCAACTAAGGATTAGAAAGATAATTCTGCGTTTAACATGCCGCCAGAAAGAATGAGTGACCAACCAAACAAACCTATCTCAAGATCCTCCAAGGTCATTCGGTAATTTAATTCAGAAGGGAAAACCTATTCCAAAAATATCGGTTCTAAGGAATCAGAAGAAGAAAAAACTAAAATAAAGGCAGTAAAGGTTTCTTACCAGGTGAATAGATCCGTGTGCGAGATGAAGACCGATGTTTCTGATACGTGTTGTGAATAGGCCGCAAACTTGAGTCAAATTTCTTCAGGGACTTTGCCTTGTGTTTCTTCACAGAGAGCAAGTGTAGATCTTCCTTCCACAAATGTTGCAAGGCTTTGAACTTTAGGGCCACCACTTTCTCCTTGAACATTGTGAAGCGTTTCTTCATTATAAACTTCTCTCTCATAACACGATCAGTTTGCATTGACAGCATACTGGTAACTCTTGAGCAATCAACCGAGGAAAGATCAGTAGGCAATAATCTCTTGAATTCGCCAGCTGCTGCACAAGCAAATTCCTTATTCGAAGCCAATATGGCAGCACATACATTATCTTCTCCATCTGCCACTGATCTTGCCGGAGCAGATACAAGTGCATGATTACTGCAGCGGACGAGAAAATTAACATCGCCTGGTGAAACAGCACTGTCTTTCTCACTCGTCACAGGCACTTCACATTTCGAGTCCACACCTGAATGCTCAATTGCCACTACAGCAGCATGCTCAGTGTCTATCACCATATCAGATGAAGAAGTCCGCACCGACAATACAGGTTCTATAAACTTTGACGTAGCAGTTCCAGGACTATCAATGTCATCATCCTTGGCACCAGTACCACCACCTTCAGTGGCGCCATCAGGAATACGATTTTTTTCCAGAACCTCATCCTTATTGGATACAACTTGCAGAGAAGGAGGACGGAGAGCAACACCAGATAATTTCTCCAGTTCATTGCAAGGGATAGCATCTCTATGTTCGGCTAAGGAACTGAATGATGGGCATGGCAGCTTGCTTCTATAATCAGACTTCAACGACTTTAGTTCATTTTCAAGACTATCTATCTCAGACTCTGTTGTTTCTAGGGCCTTCATAACATCACCTTTCCAAACAAGTAACTTATTCATTCCCGTCAACTTCACAAAACTGGAGTCCATAGAACACAAATCCTCAGACTGAAGCATCTCAATGAGCGAGGACTCCACATTAGCAATATCCAGCTTTTCTAAACTAAAAGAGAAACCCCCGGGATGGCTTTGAGAGCCGAAACTCGGCGAACCACATAAATTACTGCCGTCATTATCAACACTCATTGCCTTGCAAGAACTTTTCTCCTCTACACCTGGAACAAGAATACATTTTATTCAGAACACCTTTTTTGTAATGATGATTATTGGCCCCAAAGTTTGAACTTAGGGTGTAGCAGATAAACCGCATTACTAAAGAAAAGAGAGACAACGAAAAGGATGCTGGAGAAAAAAAAGCTTAAACATTATAACAAAATATATTTGTTATACACAAGGTTCAAAATCCAAATATATAAGAGAAAAAAATAGAAAACAAACAGGTAGGCTCAAAGGTTCACCACCACAAAGCAAAATACAGATGCAGAAACCAGGTTCACACATTATTTTACAGAAAACATGAAGCATCTCTTTTTCCTGTATGGTAAAGCTCGATATTACTAGAGGATGCAACTTGAAAAAAATGCCTGAAATGGTGAACAAGTGCCAGCAGTGAGTTCAGACGTACAGCAAAAAAATAAAACTAATGCATGCCAGTATTTGCCTTAACTTTTATCAAGTACATAATCAAACTAACCCCCTGAAGATGCTTTTACAACTACGCAAATGAAACCCAAATAATTATTTCCTCGTTGACTGCAAGAGAAAACCAAGCACCAACCAAATTTATCTCTCTATTGACTTAACTGTAGAATACAAATAGCCATAACAGTATCCAGATTCCACAGCAAAACATTGTATGAAGGTTCAAAATATTATGGCATACAGGTCAGTCAGAGTTTCCGATCAAAATGAACAACATAAAAAAGGAAGCATAGTTTATTGACAATGAAACCTAAAGAGCAAAGAAAAGGAAAATACCTGGTGAGGAACTACAAGCAACAGAGGAAGGTGTTGCAGGAGAAGAACAACCTGGAAATCCCAGCAGCCTGGGGCTTTTTTCTGCCAGGCTTGAACTGTGCGAGTGAACAGGTTCAGCAGTGTTAGCAAACAAGATGGTACCATCTCTGGTCAAGCTAATCTCGGGGTCTTTCCGCTTCTCAAACTTTGCCAGTCCCTCACCCCATCTAAGGCGCGGCTTTTTCCTTGAGGTTGTGTCATCGGAAGGTGCCACTGAAGTATCACAGACAGCAGCTGCTGCATTCTCTGAGGAAGACCGAATTGGAGGTTCATTCTTTGGCATCACCGCTATCTTTCCTCCATTAGAGTCTACTGCCCCAAGACTTTTCGAACTACTGGAGTGGCTGAATCCAGATCCCCTAGAGGACAAACTTCCTGCTCGAGTCCACTTAAGGGGTTTCCAGTCCAGTGAGTTCTCTTTTTCAACTCTCTCACCTGAACCCAAAGCACCGGGACCACCCTCCTTATTACTGTCACGCTGCTCTTTCAACTGAAGCTGGCCCCATGTGTTTACCAAGTCAGAATTAGGAGGATGAGAATGAGGATAGGTTAGCATATCATCAACTGACCTCTGATCATTACTCACATCATGGAATCTTCCAGGTCCATTTGGAGACCCATTGCTCATCTCGCATGAATGAGCTCTCCAGTCTCTCTGTCCAAAAGGCCCCCGGTTGTTATCTCTACTGGACCTGCCATATTTCCCGTCTCCGCGTGAAAATGGTGGTCTACCATTATCACCTTCCTGCATCTTGTCGCTTGACCTGGAGGGTGTATACCCATAACCAGGTTCTTCAGCAAACAGGTGCCAACCACCCTGCTTACCATGACCTTCACATCACTCAGAAAACAAACAAAGGGCGAAAAGGACAGAATAATTAATACAGGCAAATTGCATATTACACGGGATGAAGAAAAGGCAAAAACAACCTAGATGGAACAGGGAAGCCTAAATTCCAAGCAGATTATGAACCTAGATCTTCACTAGGAAAATAAGAGACAGCAAAAAGTTCCACTACATAGTTGAAAACACACCTAAACAGATCTGCCCCGGACACCCACCTACATAGAATCCCAGCTCAAAAGAATATATAGAGTCCTGGTACAATAAAGCAAGGAGAAGGCAGTTCTCAACCCGACAGTTCAACGCATGAACAACAGAACAAAGGAAAAAGATTCGCATGTAAGAGACCTCCCACCACTAAATTACCACGAAAGAGGAAAATCAGAAAGCACAACCCTATCCTTCTTCCAAGCCCAAAGCAGCCACAAAACCAAGACCTACCACATTAGAACCAGAAACTTGCAGCTGCCCAATCCAGAAACTGAACTGAGGTTCCACAAAACATCAAAAAACCTAACGAAAGACACTGCAGAAAGAAAATCAGATAAAAGGGAAGAAAGAACTCACCGGAAGGCCTGCGGAACTCGCCGGATCCTCCAGTCCAGCGAGGAGTAAACTCGCGGTAGGATCCATAATGACCTCCTCCTGAGGGCAAGTCCCTCCATCGCGGTGTGGACCCTAAGGAAGACGACGACTCGGACCTCTCATGCCTCTTCCGGTCCCAAGGCAATGGCTCTGGCGGCATTAAACAGAAACAGAGAAACGGCGCTCGCTGAAACCCTAATCCTGGCTACAGCTATCCGGCATGAGACAACAATAAATGAAAGAAAAACCAACAACTGCTCTTCCCCAAACCCTAAAGCAAAATCGGCAAAAGGCTGCCGCAAAAAAAAAAAAAAACTGGGCAGCCCCCAAAAACCCTAGCAGCTGAACAGAAGCCCGGTGGCCAAGTGAATTGAGAAGAAGAAGAAGGGTGCGGGAGATAATGGGCAGATCGCAAAGGGGACTGGATTGGATTGGATTAGATTGAGTGCAGCTGTAACAGCTTAAGGAGATTGGAGTTGAACGGTGGGGGAGCTTGTTGGCTCTTTCTCTTCAGTTTTCTCTCTGGCTTTTTCTGGGGGCGTTGCTTGGTTACAAAGAAAATAATAAAAAGGAAAAGAGCGGAAGAGAGAAGAAAATCATTCAGTAGAAAGAGAGAAAATTTGGAGAAGGAAAGCCGATAAGGGACAACAAAAGAAAGAGACCACTTCGTATCTCAACGGCGATTGTTAACCAGATTTCAATCTTCTGTCGCGTCCGCGGTTTATAAAATTAAATAAAAAATTAAAAATAAAAGTTAATGATAAAAAATAAAAGTAAAAACTAAAAAACGATTATTTAATTTCTTTCTTTGTCGCTATTTGGGATTTACCTTTTTGCCCATAACATATCAGACGTTGCATGAGTCACCAAACTAGTTTCCTTTGTTGTTGGCTAAATTGCAGGTTCGGACTTCGGTCACTTGAATTACTAAATAGTTTTGTGTTTGCCACTAAAATTAATTTATTATATTTATGATCATTTAGATTAGTTTAACAGTTCAAGTTTGATCACCCTCTGAAAGTCTCCGTTAACTTTATCTGATGCGGCGGTCAACATTTGAGAGTTGACCGTCAAAAAAGTGACGTGACAATTAAAAAATAATGATAAATAAAATTTAATCTTTTTTAATTTCCACATCATATATATATTGAAATAAACTAAAATAAAAAGATATTTACCATTTTCCACTCGCTCTGCCTACGACGACTGTCCTCGCCCAAACCCTCCCACCAATACAATTTCACACCCCTCCCTCGAGCTATCTCTCAAACACTCCGCCGCCGAATTAGGCTCCGGCCGTTGCTCCCTTCCGCCACCGCCGCATAAGTCTCCCCAAGCATGGCTCCACTTTCAACTCACGTCTCACGTCATCTCGCTCCTCGAATCCACCGAAACCGCATTCAACCTCATCAAATCCACGATCACAAACTCCCTGCCGTCCCACGCCGACGAAGCCCCTCGTAGTTGTGTCCGCCGCACCTCACTCTAACCTCCGCCTTCCCTCTGCAGCACGTCACAGCTGCGACCAACTGCTCCGCCGTCGATGAAACCACGACAACTAATGGTTTCGGGATGGCTGGCCCTGAAAGCGGAGGTTTTGGATCGAGAAGTCGAGAAGGCTGTAGAAAGAAGTTGTGGTTGTCGGGTCGTCGGTGATGGACGACGGGGGACGGGATACGGTGACAACCCCTAAGGGGGTTGTCAGATTCACAACAAAGGGTATTTTGGGTATGAAAAAAAGGAATATATTAATTACCTCTTTTGTATTAATTATATTGGGAATTAAAACCCCATATTAAATACATATATTTTTTGGAATTTAAATCCTATACATTAATATCTCTATCTATCTCTCTCTCTCTCTTCCTTTCTCCAGCGGCCACTCCGCATCGACCGACAAACTTTTTCTCCGGCGAATTCTCTCCGGCAGACTCCCTCCGGGAACCTGAAAAAATGTACCAATGCGTTAAAAAGTGTACCAATCTATTAGTCTACTAGTAATTAATATACTAGTGCTAGTGGTACGCTACCAGTACGTTAAAAAATATACCAGTACCAGCGGTACCAGTAAAAAATGTACCAGTACTAGTGGTACGCTACCAGTAGTGAATAACACAACGCTACTAGCATTGGTAGCGGCGTTTGGTAGCGGTACCAGTAGAGAATAACACAAAAAAAAAACAGATGATAGTGGTACTAGATGATAGGGGAGCCACTAGTATTGGTACTAGTGAGTAGTGGTAGCGTACCAATAGTGCTACCAGTGGTATTGGTACCAGTAGCGCTACCAGTGGTATTGGTACCAGTAGAGACTATCCGATCTGGAAAAAAATAGGGATGAGGAAAGAGGGAGGCACGGAAGAGTCTTGACCTCGCGGCGGCGGCATAAAAATGGTGGCGGGGTCAGCGTGGCACGGCGGTAGGCGCGGCAGGGCGGAGAGAGGGGGAGGACAGCGGCGCGGTAGGGGACAGCGGCGCGACAGGGGACAGCGGCGCGGCAGGGCGGCGGGGACAGCAGGCGAGGCAGGGCGGTGAGGACAGCCGGCGCGGCAGAGGTCAGGGGTGGCGGTGGGCATGGGAGAGGAAGAGGGAGCTGCGGTGGTGGGAGGGCTGTGGCGGCGGAGAGAGGGGGAGGAGAGACGGTGATGTCTACGGGAGAGAGGGAGGATGGAGGAGTTAGGGTTTTTGTTCTTTTTATATGGTAGGGTGAATGATTGGGTGTGGTAAATTTTTACCCTTCTAAAAATATCCTTCCTTTAATCTTAACCGTTAATTAAAAAAAAGAGACAGGAGAGAGAGCGTATCCAAGGGCTATGAAGTGGGTTGTGAATCTGACAACCCTCTTAGGGGTTGTCACCGTATCTCGTCCCTGGACGACGGGAATGTGGTGAAATTGTGGATTTGATTTTGGAGGAAGCATGAAGATATGAGGAATCGGATGTCTGCTGTGGTGGGAAGGGAGAGCGAAGTGTGAATGTGAAGGAATGGAGAACAAAGCAATAGTAGTGAGTGGAGAAACAGAGTGTTGGCCGCCATGGTGAAAATCTTTTTGAGCTGTGGAGGTGGGGTGGGGGAGTGGGGTTAGGTTTTTATTGAGGATGAACGAAATCGTTTTTGTGTTGTTGGGATGATCATAGGATGGAAGAAAACAACGAGAGAAAGAAAGTGAAATTTGGACAAACATTAGGGCCTTCGTTTCTTTTTCTTCCCTTTTTCCTCTGTTTTGGAGTTGAAACTGCACACATGGCTATTGGAAAGGAATGTTCAAGGGTTGGTTAATTGGGTTGGGGATTTAACTTCAGTGAGCATGCGATTCCGCCGACGGCGTTGGTGGTTCCAATTGAGGAGCTTCCCACGACGGCGAAGGGGAGAAGAGGTAATTCCAAACCTTAATTCCTATGTACCGCTCTCGCCCGCGGCGGCTTAGACAATGAGCGGAGTAGATGTTGATTGGAGGTAGGTCGGGATCAGATTGAGGTTTGGAGAACGGAAAGCATGGCAGGTTTAAGAGAGACAGAGAATTGAGGTTGCAGATGACGTCGATGGTGGCAGCGGAGGACTCACCTCTCTCTTCCGTCGCTATTATTTGGAATATTAATTTTGGTAATTATAATTAATTTGTATTTTAATTTATTATTAAACTGAGGAGGAAACTAAAAAAATAATTTTTATTTTTTAATTGCCACGTCACTTATTTAACGGCAAACTCTCAAAGTTGACTGTCACGTCAGATAAAATTAACAGAGACTAACGGAGAGTGACCAAACTTGAACTGTTGAACTAATCTAAGTGACCATAAATGAAATAAATTAATTTTAATGGCAAATATGAAAGTATTTAGTAATTCCAATGACCAAACTTGCAATTTAGCCCTTTGCAGTTAGTAGGGTGGCAATGGGTCGGGTTTTTACCAAACCCAAACTCAAATTCATGGGTTTATCCTTATAAAAATTCGGGGTAAAACCCACTGGGGTTGGAAAACTCAAACCCAACCCAAACTGTTGGGTATCCTCGAGTTTATGGGTACCCATGAGTTTTTGTGGTAACAAATTTACAATAACAAGTTTTTGTCAAAATAAAAGTCAAACATCAATTTTCTCATACAAATTATTCATACATAAAACACCGGTCTAGAAAATTCAAGCATGGTGTGTTCAACTTCTAGAAAATTCAACACCCAATTCTTTGTATTTCGTTCATTCCTTTTTTTTGTTTGTGAGAGAGGAGCAAACCAACGAACATGGTGTGTTCAACTTCAATTATTAATTTATCCCTCCTACTTCTTCTGGGAATTTAGAATTAGGGTAGGGTTTTGGGAGAGTACGGCGACAGAATAAGTGTGGACGAGTATCCATGGGTCGGGTATCTCTAAACCCAAAACCAACCCAACCCGATGAACAGTGTAACGGGTTTAAACCCGGTCTGAACCCCGTCAAAACGGGTTTTATACGCGTCGACAGGGTTGGGTCTGCTAGGGTACCCGTGGGTTAGAGTTTTGTTGTCATCGCTATTTGTTACCTTTTTGTTGTCCCGATTGAAGTAGAGTAGTAAATTCTAGGGTTGATAATTGGTGCGATTACGGTTTAATTGCATCACAAAGTCAGTTAGTCATGATCGACTAGCAGCAAAATTATCCACCGTTACTATCACTACAAGCTTTGTCGTTTGGCCGAAAATCGCAAACATTAGCAAGCATACTACTTTACTAGATTGAATTCATTCAAAGTATAGGAACTGCTTTAACAAAAGGGCTCGAACTACAGTGATCTGAGACCTTCTTCCCTTAGTGCGGGAGGGAAACACACTCGTCCCCTCTTGCATCTTACTTGGAAAAAACCGTTGCCGAAAAATTATCATCTTTACTATTGTCACTAACTCATACATTCTCTGTGGATTCCCCCTTCTTTCTCGTTGTGCAAAATGGTCGCCTATTACATGGCTCACTAATTCTACGAAACAGAGGGCTATAAGTAGGCCGCTTGCTATACCATTACTCGCTATACGATCTGCTCACCCTTATAAGTCACTCGACCGAAGGGACGAAGTCACTCGACCGAAGGAACGAAGTTGCTCGATTGAAAGGAGAGAAGGAGAATATGTGATCTCGAAGGTTTATCATAAATGGGGATGTTGTGGAATTATCTATTGGTTTTCGTCCACTTATCGTTGACCTCGCCTCCCACTACAACAGTAGCGTTGACGTGTAATAAGTTTATGATCCAACTTCTCCTAATGGGAGGCATTCCGTTACCATAGCATGAACCTTAAAAGAGAGGCAATTGTCAAAGGACATTGATTTCGTTATGAGCTTCTGTTCCCTCGTGTCCAAAGGTGAACAATGCCTTAGCTTCTACAATTCGCTGCTTTTCTTAGAGGGAACACGTTTTTTCGACCGTGGTGGTATGATTGTCGTATCCTCCCCTCATCGGTTCTGAGGCGGTTAGGCGATAACTGATGATATGATCCAAATCCGAAGAGAACCCTCGAACTCGGATTATATGACCAAAGTACGCAGCTTCAACGATCTTTTTATGATTTTCTGATGTCGCCTTTCTTGAACTCGAAAAATAAAAGATAATGTGGAATCAATCGGACAATCCCAACCGTGATGAAGGGCAATTGGTATATGAAACCAATCGGACGGCACCAACTCGTGGAAAGGGGCAATTGATATAAGGTAGAAGCTCGCCACAACTAGACGCGTTCTCTAGTTGATAAGAGACACGTGAAACCTCTGGAACACTCTCGACAGAAGCTTGCACAAAGAACCAGTTCGTTTGAACTAGAAACTTGAAAGTTGATTGAAAATAGAATGAGTTACAATGAGGAACCCAACCTCTTATTTATAGACTAGCTAACACAAATCCAAAGCTTAAAATGAAAAACAAATCCTACAAGTAAAAGGAAAAAACACAATCCTTAAAAGACAAGTAAAAGGAAAACACAATCCTTAAAAGACAAGTAAATGACTTGGTCAACAACTCCCTAGATTCTAGCCATGCAATCCTCCCTCACATGGCTTGTGTTCACACTTGATATTCCTTTCACACTTGTATTCCTTTCACACTCTGTGTTCACACCATGGGAGATCTTCCTTCCTTCTACCAAGCCCATCTTCTCTTCATTCTAGTCCATAAATCAAACAATGTGATGGACTTTCCTTCTAGCAAGTCCACGTCCATCAAGAATGACCTCATTTGATCCTTGTATCGTCGTACTCGGACCTTCATCTTTGGACCACGAGAATTATATATTCTGCCAATTGATTTCACATCAACAAACTCGTAGGCCTTACTTTCAAAGACCTTTTCTTCCAACTTGAATGCTTTCAAGCTCTCTTTAAACCTCTTAAATCGTCTCTTGAACCATGGTCCATGTAGATATCTAGTTTGAGCTCGAGTGACGTCATGCGGGATGAGCGGGGTCGCATCAATTGACAACAATAGTTTCAAAGTGAGTCCCGACAGGCAACATCATCAACAACACCTCTAGAGAGATGCTCTACAGGCGACAACTACAATAGTAGCTTCAGGCATAAGCCCGACAGGCGGCAACCACAACAACTTAAGGGAGGATCAAGAGCAACATATTTTGGCGGGGTGACGAGGGATTGAGGAGTACCCTGTTTATGATGAGGACGATGAGCCGACGACAACGAGATGGGAAGTTGATGATGGTTGGGCGATGGCAAAAAGCGAAGAAGAATTTGATGTTTGGGCGAGGTCGAGATTTGAGAAGATGAGAATGATTCTCAGCCGCAAGGGATACCACAACCTCTAGAGACTAACAAGTTGCGACGCGAAGGAGGGATATTGAGACGATGACGACTAGCCGATAACGAGGTCGAGAATACGAGGCCAAGATGGTTGGCCAATGATGAGGTCAATAAGATGAGGGGTTCCTCGTTCTTTCTTCAATTTGATGATTTTGGGATTTATGGTAAACTTGGGAGGAGGCCATGAGGGGGGGGGGGGAAATGTGATGCTGAATTGATCGCAATGTGGGAGGGTGTAGGGTAGACGAAGTCGTGTCCCACAGTTAGAGCGGGCAACCTATTGAGGATCGATTATTTATTGCTAACCTCATGGCTAATACTAACCGCGACTATTAAACGATTAATGGTTAGCCAATAACAGCGAACCCCAATTTGGTTTCACGGTTATCCAACTAATCGACAACCGTTTAATAGTTCTAGTAAAGTCCTTTTTATGAGTTGTACATATAATGGAGCTGGGGTTAGGGTATTAACACCTAACTCGTTGTCATGGTGCTAGTACTAATTCTAGAAAATGAAAACTTTTATATTTGCCAAGTTTCTAAGTTTAACGGAGTTGACTACAATTTAGTGTTGATTTTAGAGGAAGGTAAATGCTTGTCATCTTGAAAAATTAACTAATTGGATCTCTAACTCGAGCTCCTACTCATAACTCCTCTTTGCCGCATCCCTAATCCGAGCTCCTCTTTGTTCACAACTGTCGCATCCCTAGCTTGAGCTGGTGTTGGAGGTCTGATCAACCCGTCGAGGAGCAGAATGACAACGGTGGAGTAGAATGCACCACCAATCGAGGTGGAGTAGATCGTACCATCAATCGAGTAGAATAACTTATTTTCGAAACTCTTCCTTAGTGAGATTGAGTAGAATGAACAATTCTAACCAAATCCCCACTCAAATGATCTTTTAGAAGAAACCAGCCCTTTTCGCAAATATTGGATTTTGCAAGTACCAGTTTGGCCAAATGTCCTGAAAAAGACGACTATTTCGGTATTTCGACCTCTGCGCTTCCCAATATCTTTCCTACTTCGGTCACTTCACTGTAGACCTCGGGTCACTCAAACATCTCTTCCCTTCGCCGCCGCCGCCGCCGCCGCCGCTACGGCCCGGCGAGCACAACATTTCGCTGCAATGGGAAATTCATCTTCGATGCTGACTCAGTACGACATCGAAGAGGTCCAGGAGCATTGTAATCACGCCTGTAAGCAATCTTCCCCTCGATAATTCGATGATCCAGCCGATCAAATCACGGTAACATTGATATGAACGTTTACCTTTGTGCGTAGTTTCTCAGCAAGAGACAGTCTCGCTGTACCAGAGATTTTGCCAGCTCGATCGGAGCAGCGGTGGGTTTATCTCCGCCGATGAGTTCCTCTCCGTGCCTGAGTTCGCCGTCAATCCTCTCGCTCAGGTTCTTTAGTCTTTGCTCTATATTTTCGTTGAAGTCTTCCTGAAAATTTTCTGTTCTATTATTCATAAAAAAATTGTTCTATTTTGATTATCGTCTCTTCCTTTTGGAGATCAGAGATTGCTGAGGACGGTTGATGGATTGAATTTCAAGGAGTTCGTTGCTTTCCTGTCTGCATTCAGTCCTCGCGCCACATTGCAGCAGAAAATTGAATGTATTGGCCCCTTCTCTCCTTGATTGGCATTGTTGAAATTGGTACTTTTGGTTTCTAAATGTCGTTGTTTGTTAATTCTGTAGTTATCTTCAAGGTATACGATTCGGATGGAAAAGGGTCAGTTTCATTCAAAGACTTATTTGATGTGCTCCGTGATTTGACTGGACATTTTATATCTGAAGAACAGAGGGAGGTTGGATGTTCATCTCATAGCTTCATTTGTTTTTACGAATCGGTTTATATCTAGAGGGCGGTGAATGAGTAGTGAAGAGCAAAGCTGAGAAGGAAACAACCTTTGCTGTTTTTGACTGTTTTCTTGTGTGCTGTTTCTTGCAGCAAGTGCTGAAGCAGGTTCTTGAAGAAGCAGGCTACAGAAAGGACTCATCATTAGTTTTGGCCGACTTTGTAAAGGTACTTTTCGATTGTATTGTGTTCTGAGTTTAGGTAGTGATTGCGGCATTGAAACCTTTGTTTGACTTCAATTATACGGTTAACAGATTGAGGGTAGAGGGATAGACAGTCTCATCCATTGTGGTTCAAGTCACCGTTTTGGTATTTCTCTCTGGATTTTTTGCATCTAGGTCGTTTTTACATTGCTATCTTGGGTAGTTCTCTAAATTAGTTAGCTCCCTCTATTTGCATCCTGTGAAGCTTGTATCCTGGGAAGTTTTCATCTTTACATCATGGGTTGTGCAACTGAGCAAAGTATGACTTGAAAAATTATCATGAGAATTCCTGCTCGGAAAGCATGAAATTATCTATTATATCTTGCACTCGAGTAGGAAAAGCTCCAATCAACTGGTATATTCTGCGTCTTAGAGCTGGAAATGTACAATTTTTATATGATAAATGTATTGTACATTTCATATGACAGTGGAAATGGTCATGAGTTGATTTTCCCTTTTGCGGTTACTGATAGGCCATACCACTAGGCTGGTTTAGAATTGTCAAACTTGGGTGGAACCTTAGATGGAAAGCTGCTGTGTGGCATTATTAGTTTAGTGTATTGGAAGTTTTTTGTAGGAATATTGATGTGATGCGCTCATATTAGGATATGTCGGAATGATCTATGTCTGGAAAGTAGGATTATAGTGAACGTGGAGTTTAATTCCACAGTTGTCTATGTAAAATTGTGAAAAGGCTAGTCATTTGGGTGGCATGGAAGTTGTACCCCCCCTCCCCGGTTATTTTTCAACCTTGAGTTTCTGCTGGTGGGTTTATGCGCTGCTTGTTTAACACACCATGCAAAGATATTCAAGTTGGTCTAACCCAGTTAGTTCAACTTTGAGTCTTTGCTGGTAGGTTTACATATTACAGTTTCACGAAACCATTCGGTATATGATTCGACTCCATACGTAGGCAAGAGTGGTGCCTGTATCCAGCCTGAGTTCTCCTCATAACTGCATAGTGTAGGCCACTGCCCTACTCATTCAATCTGACAAGTGCAAACTTTACTCACCGGTCTCAAAGTGTTCTTGTTGCACTGCTGGTCATTTATTTGCTTTTTCTTCAAACAATTTTCTCTATACCTGGATCCTTAGACAGATAATCTGAGTCTTTGCAGCAAGGTTATGGCGAAACTAATCCAGCCCTTGGTAATAATTAGGCTTCCCTCCAGTGTTGTGCTCACACAACTTCGACTTCATTGCATGCAGATCCTAGGAAATCCGGGCTTAAAGATGGAAGTTGAGGTTCCGGTAGATTAGGCAGAAGAATTTTTATGGCATAACTCCCCAATCTATGCAGCATCATCTGCAACTCACGATCTGAAGGCAGGGGGGAATATGGAGCAGCCCAACTCTGTGCACAATCCACAACTCTAATTATGTAAACTTTTTCCCTTGCTTGCCAAGGTATCTGAATTTAGTGTCATCTTCTTCAACTCCATTGTTTCTGGGTTTCCTCCAACTAAGTTGATCTCTATTGTATGTCAATGGAGGGGAGGAGATTAGTTGTACAATTACCGGATTCTTATTGACCGACAAATTGTTGTAATTTCAGAACTTTGTGCTGCCACTGTGAAGTTCTATTCACAATCATGGCAGCCTTGTTTTGGGCCTTAGTTTGGATGTTGTCTTTTTGGCAATAAGTTCAGATTTCAGAAGTCCACAAGTCAGATCCATATGATTTATTGGCCTTCAGGTAACGGTTGGAAGTGCCCTTTCTCTTTGACCTACTTATTGAACACGTAAAAATATTTATAAAACAACCTTTTATACAAAAAAACGTAAGAATAACTACATTAGTTAGTTAGCACCTCAATCTGAAGGAGAATTAAACTGTTCAATCTGTTTTTCCTTAAAATTTTCTTCCCCAACCATAAAAACAAAAAAGAAATCTTTCTTCCCCTGTTTTCATACTGATTTCTTAGCTATCAATTTTCTTTTTCTTTTGTTTTTGGTAGAATAGCTATCAATTTTCCAGGAAAGAAAAAAAAAAACAGAGAATTAATGCTTATTTTTTGGATTCTGAATCTGTTTAGTCTTTCGGATTCTAATTTCCTAATCTGAATCTGTTTAGTCTTTCGGATTCTAATTTTCCAGGAAAGCAAAAAAAAAAAAAAAAACAGAGAATTAATGCTTATTTTTTGGATTCTAATTTCCAGGAAAGCAAACCAATCCCTGATTTGATTTCGCATCCTTTCTGTAACCAATGAACATGTTGAAAACTGTCTCCTTTTCCAGTCTCCGCGTCTTTACCAACCCCAAAAATCGTTCCTACGTTTCTGGGTTTTGAATTCTGCAATCTGCTTTCTTTTGGAGGAGGGTTTTAAACTTTTGCAGGCGCCTTTACCTTCGTCTAATTGGGTTCTTGACCCAGCCATCAATCCATCTTCCCCCTGCCGAATGTCTCTGGTAAATGTGTCCTCAATTCTCATCCTTTGTGGCCTCTTCATTCTTCCACGACCTTGCCAGTGTTAAATGGATATATGACGCATGAGTTTAAAATCTAGGTTTATGATTTCTGCATGCTTTCTTGTTAGCTGAAACTTTTGAGGATCTGTCTTTTTAATCTGCAAAGAATCATCTTTTGGGAAGAAATGGTTCAATGCCAATTAGATGCATGTTCTGACTTCGGAATTTCTTCTTTGTTCTGTGTTTGGCATGGTGAAGATTCGGAGTTGGTGTAATTGATCCAGACTAAACAATCTCTTGATCATGGCTGAAACCCACCATGCCCTGTTGCTGCCCGAGGCAGATGCAGTTAGTCTAAGAGAAGCACTCCACGGGCAGCAGCAGATCCTGCAGAAGCTGTACCGCGAACTGGACGTGGAAAGGGAAGCTGCTGCAACTGCAGCTAGTGAAGCCATGTCCATGATCCTGCGCCTGCAAGGAGAGAAGGCTGCATTGAAGATGGAAGCCAACCAATACAAGAGAATGGCCGAGGAAAAAATGTGCCACGCGGAGGAGACGCTGGAACTCTGCGACGATCTGATGTACCAGAAAGAGATGGAGATTGCATCCCTCGAGTTCCAGCTTCAGTCTTACAAGAACAGGTTTGTCAGCATGGGACCTAACGATGCTCCAGACCTCGATCTTTCGCCCCACAAAAGCGACACTCTGAAAGGGGAAAAGGGTGGTGGTGTCAGGAGGCTCAACTCGTTGCCTCAGCTTGCATTGATGGATACTATCCATAAGAGAGTAGGGTTTGACAGGAAACAAGTTGCCTCACCTAGCACAGCTACTATCGACGAGGAATCTGAATTTCAAGAGATTCATGAGTTGGAGAAGAAGTTCGTGGCGGGTCATACTGCTGGAGACTTAAATTCGTACTGGGAACAGATCAAGAAATTGGACGAACGACTGAAAGAGAAGTCGGATGGAAGCAGCAAAGATCATACTAGCAAACACAAGTCTGCACTTTGGAGAGGTGGGACTTGGTCTCATTCGTCATACTCACAACTTACTGAAGGAAACAACGGTAATAGTGGCGGCGAGAACTCAACTCCACAAGACCTGGAAGCTGGTTTGAGTTCTCATGCACCTTCCAATAATTGTATGGCTGACAATCTCGAGAGTCAAAAAAAGCCTTGTGAACAGCAGAAGAAAGATAGTCGAAAACCTCATGTGGAAGGTAGTACTGAGTTTCATAAACAGGACATATCATCAGGAGAGCAAGGGAAGGTAGTGTCGCATTGTTCTTCAAGCAACGAGAAGAAGAAAACACCAAAAGACGCACCACTTGTTGACCATGGACATGGTGGTTTGCCTCCTCCACCTCATCACCATTTGGTCACACCATGCGATTACCAGAATCTGATGCGAAGAATCGAGAGGCTCGAGAGAGGGAGGAACAATGTGAGGCACCAGCAGCAGCAGGAGATTGGTTCTTGCGGCGGAGGGCAAACAGCAGAAGAAGAGATGCATCTGTTGAAGGCGATTCAAGAACAACTTGGCGGGATACAGACCGAACTCAGGAGTCGAAAAGCTCAGAAACCTATTGTCCCAGTTGAACCGTGTCTTGATGTACTCCAGGAGGTATGGCTTCCCTCCCTATTACTACAACTTGTTCTTTCCACTGGCAGGCAGGAAAACAGGAAGTTGTTAGCTAATGATGGGTTGTTTGTTTTCTGTATGTATGCACAGGCAATGTTATACTTCTGGCTATAATGCAATCAAAGAGTTTCAATACTGCATTGTTACAAAAACATTACTACAGAGTGCAGTGTGAAGATAATGCTGCAGGAAATCGACTGTCACATTTTGATACAGAAGGCAAGGAGTTTGTATATTTGTTATTAGGCATGACCTTTTTCTGTATCCTTGTGCATATAGGATGTGTGTGCCCTGTATCTGAATTTCGATCGGCACCTTTCTATGTACAGTTGTTGTTCTATCAAGTCATTTTCTTTTCCTGCTTCAAAATAAAGCTGGAAATGGTGGCCCTGATCAATTGCCTGGTGTTATGCTCTATTGTCTTGTCCAAGGAAACTAATCAATATGAGGGGCCAGAAAACTGTGGTCCATTTCATCAGTAGAAACATAGAGAGTAGCTAGTACTATTCTTTGCTTGCCTACTAAATATCAGTGAATTTTGAAGCACACAGAAAGAGAGAAAACCCAACAATTAACGATGTACCGATCGAGCAAGACGCTAGTAGGGTTCCTGAACCTGGCAACGCTGTTAGCCTCGATACCAATCATCGGGGCGCGGGGCTAGGGATGGCGAGGAACGACACCAACTGCAAGAGCTTCCTCCATGCGAGTCGCAGTAAGTTTCGTGCTTTATTTCACGTACACTACTCGTACGACATGGGTAACACTCATAAGAAACGGATTCGAATAATGACATATCAACTTGAGCTGGTTATGTATTAGAGTCATCTCCCTTTCTCTTCAGAATGTGAAACCATTCTTAAAAGAAGTCTCAAAACGAATGCTAGAAAAATTCTTTCTTGTTATCAAGTTCAAGTCCGCAAAGAACATAATAATAATCTGTTTTAGACTTTCAACCACTTTTTGAAAATAAGAACTTAGACATATATAGTACCAACAATTAATATTTGATGTGATGATCGTTACCAACAACGTTGACATTATCATAGTTTAGCTGAAATTCAAATAGGAATGCCATTGATTATTAAAAAGCGGAATGTGATTTTACTTAAAATAGTGAAAGAGATGATACACAAGGTTGATATTTTTGTAAGTTTTTTTTAAAAAAGAGGATTTTACATTGATAAAATGGGTGTGTCTCTTTCAGTTTTAGATGCATTATTATATGCACCTACTCTCATAATTCTTATCTTTACGATGTACTAATACACTAATTATTTTTATTACTTTGAAAATCCATCCGCTCACTATTGTAAGGTCAAATTTATGGTAAAAAAACTAAAAATACTCAAAGTTTTTGTAGTTAATTCTATACTATCGTCATAGGATTAAATCTCGACAATAAATTAATAAATAATTTGTTGTCTAACTTAGTAGGGTTCGTTTGCTTGAGGGTTTTGTTGATGGATTTAGGGATGGATTTGCATGTTTCATGGATTTTGACAAAAGTCCAATGTTTGCTTGAAGGAGTTAGGGAGTGTAAATCCGTGGGGCCCATGCACTCTTGAGGTCCAAATCCGTGGACCCCACGGATTTGAAAAAACTAGCTATGGAGGTGGGAATTGGGTGATGGATTAAAATCCATGATGGTATTTTACTTATTTGTCCTCACTTTTTATATAAATGGCCAATCTACCCTCCTACTTCAATTTCTACATATATGTCATACAAGGTGTTTTGTGACGGCTACAGAGGCATGAATGATTATATTGTGAAATGGGGTGGCGAGGTGCTCCAAAAATCACCAATTGGACCCTTATGAGTCATAAATGCTTGCACGAAGAACCCCAGAATCACCACCATTGCCATCCTCCCATTTTTTTTATCTCCTTCTACTTCCAGCAAACAACATTCTTGATGTCCTTTGAGTAATCACAACCATTGATTTATGTTATGCTTTGCTTGCTAAAAGAATGTCCTTCGAGTAATCGCCACAATTGATTTATGTTATGCTTTGCTTACTAAAATGGAGATCAATTCAAACTTGCAATTAATGTTCAGTATTTATCTCCCCCGGCACTTGTCCTTCCAATGCAGCCTCCGACACAAAGAATGAACCATTTGCTTAATTAATGATGATATGTTGCACATTTGGAGTCTTCTTTCGTTATAAGATTATAGATAGGGGCAATAAGGTCAATTTCACTTAATATCTACAAATTTCATTAAACAAAATCCATCATGAAATCCATGAAACAAACAATGGATTTTTAAAAGTCCATAATGGATCTAAAACCTTCATAAGTCCATGGATTTCCAAAACCCAGGTTTTACCAAAACCTTCATTTTTCAAATCCATGAAGCAAACGACCCGTAGACAACAAGACACCCAAATCCAACAATTTAGCAAGCGACGACGTGACCAATATCTGCGGTGAAAATGCGTCTTGTACCGATTCCACGCATATCCATCATGCATCCGTGGACATTCTACAATCGGCTTATTTGACTACATACATAGATGCCTCAGTCATACAAATTGGTAATGTGGCGTTAGGGTCATTGAGATTTAGCTGGATTTCAAAGTCCTGTGAATCATTTGACCAAAATAAACAAAAGGGTTTTGCTTACTAAGTACCCCCCTTAATTTAATGGCGGAAATTAAGTGTTGTCTTATTACCATTTGATTAATTAATAATATTGTTGAAGCAACAAAACGCCCTCCCCCGGTACGAGTATCGGAGTATGATATTGTGCTCATCAAATTCCCCAAACATCAGCAACAACACCTTGTTAATTAGGTGGCGGGTTTTATTTAATAAAGAGTTGACCCCACTTGCTAATTAAGCCTTAACTCTGAGTAATTAATGGAAATGATTTGGACCCCAAAAAAAAAAAAAGCTATACTTAGGTAGCTGAGTCAAGGAATCCAAGTCTGGGGATAAGGTAGGACCCTCTGCTTCCCCCAAGTGTCCGTCGCCACCTTTCACTTCACTTTTGCAGCGCCAGTTTTGACTTTTGTTTAATAATCTGCCCACACAAATTAATCACCCTAACTAACTAACTAACTAACTAGCTTAATTATGATTGTTTGCTAAATTAAGTTACACACAGAATCTCTCTAACCCACTTATTGCTTCCAGGCGCAAGCCTTGCCATTTTTTTTCCATCCTTAGTTTATAACGGACTAGACTCTTACTATTTAGTCATTTTGAAAGGAACTTTCTCGTTTGAGAAACGCAGAAGCGTTGCGGGAGAGGAAGGTGGATGTTATGCCTCGATGTCCGGTATGCTGGGAGGCATCAGAAACTCTGGAACATTTGTTCTTGGAATGTCCAGTGGCTCGTGCATTGTGGGATCATTCTGGGCTAACCCACTTGGGTGAAGGGTTGCCCCGCCATACGTTCCCGCTCTTTCTGAAGAATGTATTGAGTATGGTGCATAACCCTGCTCTGGTAATGTCTGTAGTGGCTGTTCTGTGGCGGATTTGGCGCTCCCGGAATTGGGTGGTCTTTGACGGCAAACAGTTCGGTATCCCTGCCTTGATGCGCCAATTCTACCAGCAATTGCAGGAATGGCTAAGCTTACCCCGGGACCTGACTGCTCAGATTACACGCCCCCCGGCCCCGACCATAACTCCGGATGGTGATGATACGGTGATTTGTATGTGGGATGGGGCGGTGCGGTTGGACTCGCATGCGGCAGGGGGATGGTTATTCTCAATTCTGGCAGAGAGGTCATCCTTACAAAGGGGGTTCACTTCCCGTGTCTGGATGATCCAATGATGGTGGAAGCTTTGGCCCTCCGGGAGGCGATTGGCTGGTGTTTGGCTAATGGATTCACTGCCATGAGGTTTGAAGGTGACGCCCAGGTGATAATTGAGAAGATTCGCCGGAAGGATACTCGAGATAGTAATATAGGGGCCATTCTGGAAGAGATAGTGAATATTTTTTATTCAAACATAGGGTTGACTATGCGATTTGTAGGTCGGCGGAACAATAGGGTAGCTCATTTGGTAGCTAGACAGGCCCTGTCTTTGTCCCCGACTGCTTGTCGATTGTTTGATTTCCAGGCCTGGCTGTATTCCAGGATGTAACGATCTATTGATTTCAATCTATTGATTATCTTTTGTAAAAAAAAAACTATCGGGAAATTTTATTCGTCTCTTAGATATTACCACGCGTTTTTTGAATATATTGTTTGAGAAACCAAGAAAACACTGGGTTTTAATCGTCTCTTATATAGTACCACACATTTTGAATATGCTCTTCTTATTGTTAGTATGCGGTATAAAGATCTATAATTAAACTTCCCTCAAGAACTCGAGTTATCGTGATAAACTGATTCATGACATGGTATCAGAGTCTTATGTGGACAAGAGATCTTTTGTTCGAATCCCCACGATCCCATTTGTTAAGAATATGTGTACTCATACATGTGCAACCTTCAAGCCCTTATGCGTGGTTTTCGCTTGAGGGGCGTGTTAGTATAAGATTTATTGGGGTGAATTGCAAGTTTGGTCACTCATATTGTCTATTTGTAACACATTAGCCACTTGAATCACTTTCCCTTTAATTCAACCATCGATATTATACGTTAGTGTCATATTTGGTCACTCATCGTTTAGTTCCGTTAAGTCTGTCCTACATGGCGGTCAACTATTATGTTTGACCGTTAAAGTGATGATGTGAAAATTAAAAAAATTAAATTTTCCAGCTCACTATCAATAGGCTGCAATCTCTCCCTATCCACCGTCACCATCACCGATGAAAATGCTCAACATCCGTTCCGTCGACCACTCCCTTACCCTCGAGAAGGGTCTCTCCTGGGAGAGCGGATCGGGTCTAGTGTAGCCAGCGCCACCACCGCTACGTCTCCGTGAACGAGCTCTTCGGCTTGGTCTGGTTGATTGTAGGGGAGGGCAGAAGACGACGCCCGAAAACTCGGTGTCCATGGAGATGAAAGGGAAGTCGTCGATTCGTCACGGATGAGGTTGAATTCGGCTTCCAAGTTGGACTCCTAGACTTCTCAGATTACAATCGGCAGCGGCGGTGGAGGAGTGGGGAGCTTGGTCATTTCTGCGGAGTGGAAGTGATTGAGGTAGAATTTGCAAAGAGCTGGATAATTTTTTAGTGCGGTGATAGCGGAATTGGGGGTTAGGGTTTTATATTGTGGAATGGGTAGTGGGGAGGGATAGGAAGTGCGGTGAAGCCCTCCCTCTGGCCTCTGCCGGTAATTCTCTCCCGCGGCCAATCCCCTCGCCACCGCAGCTCCGCCGTGGTTGCCATCGCCACCGCTCGCCTCCACCCTCCCCTGCTCGCCTGCTCTGTGCCCTCGCCCGCCAGCTCCTCACCCCCGATCCTCATCCCGTTCGCTGATCGCCAGCGCCGTCAGTGTATCTCCCGTCGCTGTACCGCATAGTAGCGTCGGTCCCGCACCGGACCATCTTCCCAATCATCGATTCCGCGCCACCAATTCCTTGTCGTCGCCATCGCCGGTACCACCTTCGAATTTGCGCCGTTGCCGTGACCCTCCCTATGAGCTCGGCCGTCTTCAATCCCTGCCATTCTCCGTCGTCGTCGATCCGTGCTGCTGCCACAGTTGTCTCGGTTCATCGTGGAAGAAGGAGAAGAAGAGAGAAGCAGCGTCGTTGACGAGGAAAAAAAATTGAAAAGGAAGAAGAGAGATGCTCCTTTTCGTTCCTCTCTCTTCCTCTTTTTCTTTTTTCAAAGCTCTCTCTCTTCCTCTTTTGTGAGGTGGAAATTTTTGAAGAATTATTTTTTATTTTTTAATTGCCACGTCACTATTTTAACAGTTAAATATAATTATTGACCGCCACGTAAGGCAGATTTAACGGAAGTAGACGGCGAGTGACCAAATATGACATAAACCAGGGGCGGAGCTAGGATTTGACGTTTGGGGGGGCTGAAAAAATTTTATATTGTTATCACGGAAAGGTGATAAAAATTTAAAAACTAAGCAAGACAATCAAAATAAATTTTACTTTTAATAGTATTATGATTAATCATTTTAGGTGATTATAGTCAAAATATTGATGTAGAATAACTTATGGAAGGTCAAAATGAATAATTTTTCAGTGATATAAAATTGCAAAGTGGTAAAAAAACTAAATTTGAAATTAAATGAGCAAAGAAACAATATTGCAATAATGAAATAAAGAAACCATACAACATGAAACTTGAAAGTAATTATATCTAATTAAATGAGTAAAGAAATAATAAATTTAAAAACGTAATTATGCAGATACATTAAAACAAAAAGCAAATAAAAAATAATATAATGGCAGAGGATGAGTATCGAACCCCCAATCAGCTACATAATAACTCCCTTCCTCTCCCGCTGGACTAGGCTTACTTTGGTTATTAAAATTGGCACAGTAAACTTATTAGATAGTTTGTTAATTTTTACGAAATTTTCAATATATCGATGTAGTTTAAACGTAACTTTCACGATTCTCGGGGGGGCCGGGGCCCCCCGAGACCAGCTGTAGCTCCGCCCCTGACATAAACATGTATTATTGGTGACTAAATTGAATGGAAAATGATTCGGGTGGCTAACGTGTTACAAATTGGTAATATGAGTGACCAAATTTGCAATTCAGCCAGATTTTGGGACCAATTGGTTCTTTTAACACTTATCTTAGCTCTTTTCTACATCTAAAAAAAATATATATATATTCACTTTATGCGATGTATCTAATCATATCCGTTTTTGTCTATATTCGAATTACACGTACGTGTAATATCTACCTACGTAAAAGCACATTATATTGCGTGTAGTGTTAGTTGGATATATACTTGTTCGTCAATCATGTTTTGTCTGACATCTAAATGTTCTAATTGCTCTTGCTAGTTGCTAGACATCTATTATGAGTTTATGAAAGATTCATGTTGAATCTAGTAATCTACTGACAATTCGTAATTTGCTTGCCAACAGTGACCAACAAATTTGAATAATGAATGGAGCACTAATTCTTCTGGTTTGTCAAGCTTATTAATTAGATTGGATTGCCCTTAAATTCGATCTCCTACTATCCAATCTTAAGGCAACCCAAGTTGACAATAAGATAGGGAGGAAACATTTAATGAAGAAGACACGTTCTTGCCCATAAACTGTGTGGTTGTTTCTTTATTTCCTTGTGCACTTTGGCGACATGTACAAAATCAACCCTTTCAAGACTTGCATTTGTAGCGTATTTTTTCACATTGGACTTTAGCATAGAAACTCGGTTACAAAAGTAGCAATCTTTCCTTGAGACTTGGTTGATTTATGGTGCCCTAGCTAAGACCCAAGTCGGTCAATGCCGGGGAACTTGGAGAGATAGAGCTCTGTGAAATTGCCAGGTCAACTATTGTGTGTACTGCCTTTTTACATTTTTTCCCCAATACATATTATAACTACAATATTGAATAAAATGATTTCAATTGTATAGTTGGGATAGTTAGAAATTTAGAATCACTCAAATATAAAAATAAAATAAAAACTAAGCTTCCGTGATGTTTATGTTTGATATGAATTGGGATATTTTTTCTTTAATTGGGAGTTCCTGTTTTGACGGTGGTTTAATATGGTATGAATGTACAATACCAGAAGTATTACCGTAGAATCCGACTGTGTTATCCTATATTGAAAGCTACCATAATTTCTTTACTCTTTAATCTCCTTCTCGTTCTAAAAGTCCTACTTTCACCACTAATCTTCCAACTCGCACGAGTTTCAAATTTTACGATTTTCTAAATCGCGCGGTGTCTTTTCTAACATTCCATGATCAAATATAACTACGTAAAAAATTGAAGACCGTCTCTTCAGTTAGCAAGAACAAGAATGGTATGAAACACTAAGTTATAGGAGTCTAAAATATAGACATTGAATTCGAATAGAAGTTGCTGATTTTAAAAATAATTGATGCATGTCAACACAAACTTGTATTATCTTCTTTCCCCTCCACCTTACTGTCAATTCGATCAACTGTTTGTCGACCTCAAAGTAGAGCCTTGTCAAACCCAAAACTTCTACTTATGCTAAAAATTTACTATATATTATTTTTGTTTGTTTGTGGTAAACCGTTTTGGACAATGTTGAACATTAAGATTCGGTGACATCACCAAGTCTTTCGGATAAGTTAATAATAATAACATTAAAAAAAAATGTAATCATCAAATTAAGTGTAGGGATGACAATGGGACGGGTTTGCCTAAATCATCTCCATTCTCATCTTCAAATACTCAAACTCATACTCGTCTCATACCTATGTGGGGAATGTTTTGCAAACCCATCCCTATACCCGTGGGTTTCGGGTACCCATGGGTAATATCCATACTCGTACATCCAACATTATTATACCTAAAACTTACAAAAAAAGAGTTTTAATTGCTTCTCTAAACGAACATATTATATCATAAGTCAACAAAAACACAATGTTTTTTTAATATGATTCAAAGAATATGATCCTAAAATATCCATTAATACATAATATAGAGTATAATATTTTTCAAGTTATTATATTCTAACTCTGATACATATACTAAGTAATAATTAACTAACATAATCTTGTTGACAAGAGGGAAAGTGAAAGGAGAATTGAGAGAAATGAATTAGGTTTTGATTGGGGTGGTCACTCAATTGCATTTCTACTATTTATTTTTTCAAGTTATCCTCATCATCATTAATAAATTACAATTTGATGCACATATTTTTTTTATATATGAAACCATACCCGCCCCATACTCATCAAATATTTTGCGGGTTTTAACCATACCCGTCCCATACTCGGTCAAAGCGGAGATTCCCCGCGTTGACTGGGTCGGGGACGGTCGGGTACCCGCGGCCATGGGTTTAATTGCCATCCCTAATGAAGTGATTCAAATTTTTTTCACACCTGGCATGAAAGTCCCCCCAATCCCAAATGACTTGCGTTTTCCTACGAATTATTCAAATATAATATAATTTATTGCGTGCAAGGAATGAGTTTACACGCGGACATGTTGATTCCTCGTCGATCCATTGGTTCCCTGTACGACTTTTTAAATCTCCCTAAACATGTGTGTTTTTTGCAGTATATTCATTTTTCCTAAGCTGCATTAATTGAGTTCAGTAGATAAATCAGCATCGACGTGAATAATAATCAAAGATTAGTTTGTCTGGTAGCCGATAGTGAGAAGAGCGTAGAAACAGCCTTGTCCACAGATTGTAATTTGTAACTAATAAGTCCGCCATCTTAATTAGATGTTTCTGGTAGCATGCAGATTATTCTTAGGACTACATATATTAGCTACAATGAACAAGTTTTACCAGTTCGTGATGACGAGGAATAATGCCTCTCTGCATGTCCAATCGCGTTTGTTTGTTTGTTTGTTAGTTTTCGGTATTCTATTAACTCACCTCCACAAATGGTTGTTAACGATTTGATTCATGCAAGTCTAGCATCTTGAAGTGATAAATGGGTGGAAACCGGAGGAGGTGGGGGAACAAGCAGTTAGCTAGCTATACGCTTGCAAATGATTTAAAACGGTTCGCGAGTGGTCTGACGTTCTGACTCGAGATAAAAAAAAAATTCGTCTGACACTCGATTTGATTACTAACAAGTCGAGTTTGAGTTAAAGCCTCGCACGGCTTGCAAAGCTAGCGAGCCAATTCGATTTGGTGGTTTGTGGATCTCAACTCGTGAGGTGGCTCGACAGTATGGCTATACCGAGCCACCTTAATTATAGCACCCTATGAGGGAAATAAAAGTAAACCTAGATAAGACAATCAACGAACTTAGGTTTGATCAAAGTTATTAGTTGTGGTTGGTTTGCAAAGGACTTCTTGTTTGATCGAATTATTGAGGGAGAGGGGACACTCATTTTCAGACTATTCAATGTTCGATTAGAATGAGAGAGTGACAAAGAAAGAGATGACGAGATTTGATTCCTTCATTTTCCCAGACCTTCCCCTTCTCTTTCTCTCAGCCCTCATCTCTGAAATAGTCAAACTCTGCGTTCCCTTCCTCCTTCTCTGCTTACCCTCCATGTTTATATAAATCTCTTTCCCTCCCATCCATTTGCTACCAACTTGCAGCCCTCTGTCCCTCTCTTTTCATTCTTATCCCTGCAACTTGTATAAAAAAAACTAGCTCTACCCACAACCATTTTCGCAGTGTGCAGTAATTTGAACGGAAGCTCAAGTTGGGGCTGGAGCAAGCCTTTGCAAATCCGTTTGTCGGTTCAGTCTTCTGGGGGTTTTGATCGATTTTGAGAGATGTCGTCCTACGGGAGCAACATGGAGCGGACTCTGGAGGAGACGCCGACGTGGGCCGTCGCCGCCGTGTGTTTCGTGCTGGTCGTTATCTCCATCTTCATCGAACAGCTGATCCATCTCGCCCACAAGGTAAAGATCCGAGCTTTCGGATTTTTTGCAGCTCGTATGTGAAACCCATCTTCTGATTCTGTTCTTCTTTTGAATCCACAGTGGCTGCATAAGCTGCACAAGCCAGCTCTAGTGGAGGCGCTGGAGAAAGTGAAGGCGGAGCTGATGCTGCTGGGTTTCCTGTCGTTGCTGCTCACGGTGTTCCAAACCCCAATCTCGAGCATTTGCGTCTCCCAGAAGATTGGAGCTTCTTGGCATCCTTGCAACAAGAAGGAAGAGAAATCGGCCGATTCAGGGGACAACCGCCGTCGCCTTCTCGGGTTCTTGGATCCTGATGTGGTCGTGAGGCGAAGCTTGGCCACAAAAGGAGTTGACAAGTGTACTGAAAAGGTATAATGAGTTCCTCTCCCTTGGTTTTTGGTTGTGGTTTTGATCTGTTAGTGGGATCAACATTATTGAGCGAGAGGTGTTTGTGGAAATGTCTCAGGGAAAAGTAGCGTTTGTGTCGGCGTATGGTATTCATCAGCTGCATATATTTATCTTCGTGCTGGCTGTTTTCCACATCCTTTACTGCATCCTCACCTATGCCCTGGGAAGAACCAAGGTACTTTTTGTGAATGAAACTCCCTTTTTTTTTTGCCTTTACAGTTTTGGGTTTTATCTTCTGTTTCGGTTTCTCGTCTGCTTTACCCTTTTTGGTTAATAAAAAGTGACTTTTTGGATGTTGCAGATGAGGAAGTGGAGGCAATGGGAGGATGAGACCAAGACACTAGAGTATCAGTACCATAATGGTAAACTTTATTCTGCCTTAAAGAGTATCATTTCATTCAAATAACTAACGACAGATGTGCTAATTGGGGTAGCTGATCTTGTTTATGTGTGCAGATCCAGAGAGATTCAGGTTTGCAAGGGATACATCTTTTGGGCGTCGCCACTTGAAAATTTGGAGCAAGTCTACAATTCTTCTTTGGATTGTAAGTATCACAGCTGTCAACAGGCCATGGTTGCTGACGATTACAGTCATTTCTGGTGTTTGTCATGCTTGGCTGACCATTTCCTACTTTTCTTCTTCTGTAACAACAGGTCTGCTTCTTCAGACAGTTCTTCAGATCAGTGACCAAGGTGGATTACATGACCCTGAGACATGGGTTTATCGCGGTGAGTCGAAAACGAAAAGAGCAGCAATATATGAAGTTATTGACTACTCGGTATACTTACTAGAAGTAACTATGATTACTAAAAATGGTGTTGGTTGCATTGCAGGCACATTTGGCACCTGGGAGTGAGAGCAGATTCGACTTCCAGAAATACGTCAACAGATCACTAGAGGACGACTTCAAAGTTGTTGTAGGGATCAGGTTTGCGCTCTCCTCAGTCCTCTCCCTCCTTCTTAGTCCTTTCTTTGCTTATAACCTATACAACTAGGAAACTAGCTAACTGTTGTGTTATCTTAATCTTCCCCTGCAGTCCGGTTCTGTGGTTTTTTGCAGTGTTGTTCCTGATGTCCAACACACATGGTAATGCCTAAACTTCCAGAATTTCTGATGGTTAACTCATGCCCATTTCATGGATCAAAGAACTAAGACAAATGAGTTGGTGTTTTCTTTTACTGATTCACAGGATGGTTTGCTTATCTCTGGCTACCCTTCATTCCATTAATTGTAAGCACATCCTCTCTTTTACCCTTTTCCCCATCCATCCCCAAGTTTATTGCTTGCGATCGAGAAAGACTAACGATTGGAACTTGGAACACTGACTGCAGATAATCCTGGTGGTGGGAGTAAAGCTTCAAGTGATCATAACCCAGCTGGGACTCCGAATTCAGGACAGAGGCGACGTCGTGAAAGGCGCCCCTGTCGTTCAACCAGGAGACGACCTCTTCTGGTTCGGCAGCCCTCGCCTCATCCTCTCCCTCATCCATTTCTGCCTCTTCCAGAACGCCTTCCAGCTCGCCTTCTTCATCTGGAGCGTGGTAAGCAACTAGAACAGAACGAATCAACCCCCTCCTTACAACTAATTCTCTCATTGTGATCACTCAATCACGTTCTAATCATCTCGTCGCTTCCAATCTCCCACAGTATGAATTCGGTATCAAAACTTGCTTCCACGAGAAGACCGAGGACATCGTCATCCGAGTCGTCATGGGGTAAGCAAGAGTCCTAGTCACCAAAACACTTTTACATAGTATCATGCTTTTTACTTACAATTGTGATCAAAATCTACGCTTTAAACCTTAAAGCTAAGGCTGACTCCAATGCAGCCTGCATTTATAGAGTTCTCGCCATTAATGGCGATTTTGGAGCTCCAACGCAGACCCAAAAAATGGCGAAAATCGGCATTTATGGAGGGCATCGGCATCTGGGTCGCTAAATATGGGGAGGGAATGCCGAACTCGGCATTTATGGAGGAGGAGATTCTGCTGCGCGGCACAACCACCGGGGCTGGGCGGTGCGCCGCACGCGCAACTCTCCCTTGCGCGTGCGGCGCACCGCCCAGCCACAGCGGCTGTGCCGCCAGCTTTATTTTTTTTTTTTAATTGTTGTTTAGTTAATTAGGGAAGGGGAATTAATTAGGGGAAGGGGAATTAATTAGGGGAAAGGGAATTAATTACGAATTTCTGGTATTAATTAATTAAGGAAATTGATTAAGAGAATTGAATGTAATTAATTAGGGGAAGGGGAATTAAATTGAATTAATTAGGGAAAGGGAATTAAATATATGTTTGTATTTAGGCTTTTTAGATTGTATTTAATTTGTGTTTTAATATTTGTGTAATATTTAAACTTTATGATTAGCAAGTGTTGTGTGTAAACCCAAATTAGGTCCATAATTTTTTGCTAAAAAAAATTCGGTCTCGAAATTTAACAAAATTCTATCGGAAAATTTGTATTTAAAAATGATGACGAACTATACAAAAATTAACATGAACAAATTATGTTAAAGTTTCGATAAGTACATTTTTCAATAAATGGAAAAACTGGAAATATTAAGAACCCCAAATATGGAGTTTGTTGCATTGGAGCAAAAGAAGGGAAAATGGGGTCCAATCCCCAAATTTGGGGTTCAAGACCCCTATATTTGGGGTTTTGCATTGGACTTGGCCTAACGCTCTTACGTTCTCAGATCACCAAAATGCTTCCACGTAGAATCGCGATTTTGACTGCATCGCTGATGATATATATTATGCAGGGTGATAATCCAGGTGCTCTGCAGTTACGTGACCCTGCCGCTGTACGCCCTGGTGACACAAATGGGTTCCAACATGCGGCCGACCATCTTCAACGACCGGGTGGCGACGGCGCTCAAGAACTGGCACCGGACGGCGAGGAGGCAGACCCGGCACGGCACGCCGACCTCCAGCCGGCCGCAGACGCCGACGCACGGCATGTCCCCTGTCCACCTCCTCCACAACTACAGGAGCAGCACGGCTCCGGACAGCCTCATGAACTCTCCGGCCAGAAACTCCAACTTCGACACCGATCAGTGGGACCCGGAGGCCCTGAACTCGCCGTCTCACCACAACTTCAGCAGCCACGGCGGCAGCAGCGCCGCCGCCGGGCACCGGGAGGCAGAGGATCAGTTCCAGTACAACATGAGTTTGAGGCAGCAGAAGCCGCCGCAGCAGCTGCAGCTTGAGGAGGAGCAGGAGGGGGGAGAGGATGTGGTGGTGGCGGTGAGGAATATAGAGCGGGTGGCGGCGGAGGAGATGCGGCTGCCGCCGGGGCCTGGATCGATCAGGACGCAGCATGAGATGAACATTGGGTTGTCGGATTTCACTTTCAGGAAAGGGTAGAGATCAGAATTCAGAGCTATATATATAGAGAGAGAGAGGAACTGAATCCGGTGGTATCTGAGTTTTCTTAATTTTTGGATTAGAGATGGATGGAATGTACATTCTGTTGTACATGATGATAAAATTGAAAGCCATGTATTGTATAGAATTGTCAATTGTTTGTTGTACCAAAGAGAAGGGGATATTAGGTTGAAACACTCCATAAAAGTTGTAAGGAAGGCTGGTTAATTAACGGTTCATCACTTGTCCCCTTTTAGTCCAAATAATATTAGGCTACAAATAGTGTTGATAAAAAAAATCAATTGGACAAAATTTTGATAAGAATCAATTAGAACTGGGAGTTATGTATTATAGGATGAATGCATTTTGAGAAACTAGTCGAATGAGTTCTTTCGCGAGATAGATTCGCCAAGTGTCCTAAAGTTGTTGAGTATATTAACATAAACTACTAATCCCAGCATACTACGAATCTCCCGCCAAGCAATCACTCGTTAGTGATTCACTGTGATGGGTCGTTTTTGAGCGACTCCCAGACGGCGGCATATGGTGTTGTGGTTGTTAACCACCATGGACAAGTGTGTGATGGGCGAGCTGAGACTCTTCTTTGTGCCACTCCGATTGAAGCGGAAGCGAAAGCTCTCTTGGAAGGTCTAAAATAAGCACAAGAATATGGATCGTAATGTACAGTTCAATCTGACTTTACAGCTTTTGGTAAAAGCTCTGAACAATAATCACTCTCGTTGGCCCTGGAGGTGTGCTGCATGGATTAACTCTATGGTCACTATTCTTGGGACTAACCCTGCCATTAATGTTAAAGAGGTGCCGAGGACGCTGAATGTCAGAGCTGATTGGGTGGCACGCTCGAAGGCTAGATCTACGCTGCCAGATGACTGGATCAATATTCTTGATTTAATTTCTAATCTCCTATAAGACTGTAATCTTTTATTTCGAGTGTTTCTTTGGAAGGTGGAATAAAATTGATATTGTTGTAAAAAAAACTACGAAAATGTAAAATAAAGCTAGTTAGTGGGTTACGTTATTTTTTCTTTTAATGAATGATTTTAATTAGTAGTTAACCACAAAAACTACTCACAAGTTTACCAACCAAATCAAAAAATTTATTCATCAAATGTGGTTTTGGTGAACCGAATTTCCAGTGAAGTTTGGAATTACTTCCACTCTTGATTTATTAGAATTTATACATTCTTAAAAAGAATGCTATCAAGTATCAACCGACCACATATCACTTATATTAATGTTGTTAACATAATATATACATTAAATTGTATCACATTTGTTGGGGGCATGGAAAGAAGGGCCCAAGTAAAGGGCCAAGGTGCCACCCTGGGTCGGGAGTGTGGGCCTGGCGAGGGAGAGACTAGGCCCAAGAGAGGGCCAGAGACCAAGGCCCAAGCAGTGGGACCAGGCCGATGGAGGGGCGCATGACGACAAAAGGGGAGTAACGGTCGGAAGCGTACGGAGGAGACAAGGGGTGGGGCCGTGCGCCTCCGTGGCGCAGGCCGGTGTCAGAGTGTCGGGGCGCCTTGGGGGAACAAGGTACAGTGCATTTAATGAGGTGATGACGTAGGGCGGATTTGGGGGGCATTGGTCGGCCCTACCTCGAGTATAAATAGTGAAGTGGGTGGAGCTCATTTACTCAGGTTCCAACTTCTCTCTAAAGCTTATATCTCACTTCTCTCTCTAGAAACTGTTCTAACTTGAGCGTCGGAGTGCTAACGAGCCCTTGCCAAGGGGCTCGGTGCGCGCAGCCGTGTGCAGGAGGTGAGCGTGAGGTCAAGGCGCGGGGGAATCGGAAGGAGCTTGAGAGACTCGCAGGGCGGGAGGCGTACGTGGTACAAACAATTGGCGCGCCAGAAAGGGGAGTATAACCACTGCAAACGTCACGATGATGGAGGAAGCGGCCGAGGGGAACCGCGCCCAGAATGAAGCTGGCTCTGAGGAGGCGCCTCATGCCTCTGAAGAGGCGCAAGGGGGAGGAGAAGAGGCACAGGGAATGGCGCATTCGGAGGGAGACACGCTGACCAAGGAACACCTGATCAGCATCATTGAGGAACAGGCCCAGGCGCTCGAAGCTCTGAGGAAGGAAGTGGAGGTTCTGAAGAAAGGAGGGGACGCTACGCCTCCTTACGGCGGAAGGAAGAGGGACCGAGAGGAAGAAGAAGAGGGGATATCCAGCGCATTGAGGCGCACGGAGGGTGCGGGTCACCAGGTACGGCACGAGGCGCCGGACCTCGAGGAGCGCAACACGTGGGCGCCCAGGCGCCCAGGGCGCCCGTGGGGGGTGAGGCAGCCGCTGGCGCGGAGCATCTTGGCGGAGCAGGCAAACTCAGTCATACCGGCGCTTCCCAGCTACGATGGCACGTCCGACCCGGAGGATCACCTGAACAATTATTTCACCAAGATGCAGTTGTATAATAGCTCGGACGCCACGCTCTGTCGCGCCTTCCCCTCGACCTTTGTCGGCGTGGTGCTGGACTGGTATCACCAGAACGAAGAGGGGAGGATCGACAGCTTCGAGCAATTCGCGGCCATGTTTCTCTCAAAATTTGCCAGCCGGAAGCGCAGGAGCCTGACGATCAGCGCGCTATTCAAGGTCAGACAGCGAAAGGGCGAAGCGCTTCGGGATTTTTACGAGCGGTGGATGTCAGTTGCAATGGCGGTCAAGGACGTCAAGCTGCCGGTCCTGGGGTGTTGCTTGGACGAGTGTACCAATAGCGAGGAGCTTTGTCGTGCGCTTTCGAAGCGCGACGTGGTGTCCACGGAGGACCTGGACCGTCGGGTGCAGAAGGTCATCATGCTGGAGGAGACGTTAGCGGCAAGAAGGATGGAGCGAAGAGAGACGCGCCCCGATGAGGCGGAGGCGGCCCGGGCAACCCGACCGCCCTCCGTCCCGTCAGGCTCTCAGGGCTACCTTCAGAGTGCCCGCCGACCTGAGCCACCGCGCTTTCTGCCCAGGAGCACAACGAACTTCACCGAGCTCAACGACACCCTGAGGAACGTTTTGCAATACGCGAGAGATAAGGGATACCACCTTCGCTGGCCGGGACCCATGCGGGGACGCCCAAACGAGCAAAACTTGGATAGATTTTGCGAGTTCCATCGGGAGAGGGGGCACCACACGACCGACTGCTATCAACTCAAGTCGGAGATCCAAGGGCTGGTGGATAGGGGGATGTTGAACGACTTTGTAAAGAAGGTCGAGGACAAGGCGCAACGAACCTTCATGGCACAGGAAGAGAAGGTGGAAGCGTCTCAGAGAAGCGTGGACGAAGGGGGAGCAGGGCGTGTCTGGATCGAAGCTCAAGGCGGGGGCGTGGAGCTGCCACCCCCTCCCTTTGATGTTGAGCCAGAGACTAACCCCGCCAGGGTAAGGTTGACGATTGAGACGATTTCAGGCACGGTCGACCTAAGGCAGAAGTTGGAAGAGGGCAGGCGGCTAAAGTCGGCCACTGCCAGCGCACGCGCAGCTGTACGGATCCACTTCAACGAAACGCCCGAGGAGGCGTGTCGGGTTCTGTCGGTGGAGGCGTTGGAGATCAGGGGAGTGGTTGCTGGATGCGAGGTGAAGAGGATGCTGGTGGACACGAGAAGTTCGATGGATGTGTTGTTCAGGTCCACCTTTGAGAAGATGCAGTTGTCGCCGAGCGTCGTAAGGCCGGCGGATACGGTCCTGGTGGGGTTTTCAGGGATAACGGCGCGAGTCGTGGGGCGTGTGAGTCTGCCCGTCACGCTGGGGGAGGAAGAGCACCGAGTCACGCACACTGTCGATTTCGGCATCGTGGACTGTCCTTCCAACTACAACGCCATCATGGGACGCCCACTCTTGGCCCTGTTTAACGGGGTGGCATCGCCATGCCACCAAGTCCTGAAATTCGTAACCCCTAGGGGGGTAGGAGTGTCAAGGGGCGAGGCATCACAGGAAGCCCGTCTCGTCAAAAGGATGCGGATGTACAACATAGACGTACGACCCGAAGACTTACCAAGGGCGGAGGCTGATGACGCAGAGATCCAAGTGCCCCTGGACGACGGGCGCCCCGAAAGGTGCGTGCGCATCTCCGCGCATACGAGTGGGGAGGCGGCTGAGTCGCTGGTAGGGCTGCTGAAAGAGTTCGCGGACCTGTTCGCTTGGAGCGCACGTGAGATGCCGGGGGTGAGTCCGGAAGTGGCGGTGCACCGTTTTTCGGTCGAGAAGGGGGTGCGCCCTGTGCAACAGAAAAGGCAGCCGATGTCAGAAGAAAAGGAGGAGGCGCTGCGTAGGGAAGTGAGGAAGTTGCTTGATGCAGGGTTCGTGGAGGAGGCAAAGTATACGACTTGGTTATCCAACGTGGTGCTAGTGCCGAAGGCGCTGGGTGACTGGAGGATGTGTGTTGACTACACGAGCCTCAACCGAGTGTGCCCCTCTGATACGTATCCGATGCCCCGCATTGATCAGCTTGTGGATGCGACTGCCTACCACAAGGCGCTGAGCTTCCTAGACATGTTTTCTGCCTATCACCAGATCCTCATGTGCGAGGAAGATCGAGAGAAGACGACGTTCATGACTTCCTTCGGCAATTTCCGTTACAAGGTCATGTCCTTCGGGTTGAAGAATGCGGGAGCGACATACCAGCGCATGGTAAACACACTGTTCCAAGGGCAGATCGGGAGGAATGTCGAGGCATACGTGGATCACCTGGTGGTCAAGAGTAAGAGGAAGGAGGACCATCTGAAAGACCTGCACGAGACGTTCGAGACTATGCGCACCCATTCCCTCCGCCTCAACCCCCTCAAGTGTGTCTTTGGAGCGGAGGCGGGTAAGTTTTTAGGCTTCATGATCACGAAGAGGGGAATTGAGGCCAACCCAAAGCAGGCGGAGGCGATCAGGCGCCTCGAGCCTCCAAGGACTCCCAAGGAGGTGCAGAGTTTGAATGGGCGCCTGGCTGCGCTAGGGAGGTTCATACCTCGGTCGGGCGACAAAGGCGCTCCCTTTTTCAGAGTCCTGAAGAGGGTGGCTCGGTTCAAATGGACGGAGGAATGCGATGAGGCGTTTGAGGAATTGAAGGGGCTTCTGGTGTCGCCGACTTTTATGACGGCGACCCGAGCTGGTGAAGTGCTATACCTGTATATAGCAGTGTCAAAAATGGCGGTAAGCGCGGTGCTAGTCTCGAGAGCGGCGGCAGATGGCGAGGAGCGCCCTGTTTATTACGTGAGCAAGGTGATGACGGGTCGCAAAACACGATACGCTCCCATAGATAAGGCGGCTTTGGCTGTGGTTTCCGCCGCGGAAAAGTTGCGCCCGTACTTCCAGGCGCACCCCGTCGTGGTGCTCACGAACTTGCCATTGAGGAGCACCCTGGGTTCT